TTTGAAGCAATAATGATCGATGAATAGACTTCTTCGAAATAGAATCAAGAATGTGTGTGAATTTCACTAAAATCAAGGCACCAATGGTGTAGCGGTATCATTGTACCCTCCCACGGTACAGACCCGGGTTCAACTCCCGGTTGGTGCAAATCGTTTTGCATTTTGGGATTTGAAGCAATAATGATCGATGAAAAGACTTCTTCGGAATAGAATCAAGAGTGTGTGTGAATTTCACTAAAATCAAGGCACCAATGGTGTAGCGGTATTATTGTACCCTCCCACGGTACAGACCCGGGTTCAACTCCCGGTTGGTGCAAATCGTTTTGCGTTTTGGGATTTGAAGCAATAATGATCGATGAATAGACTTCTTCGAAATAGAATCAAGAATGTGTGTGAATTTCACTAAAATCAAGGCACCAATGGTGTAGCGGTATCATTGTACCCTCCCACGGTACAGACCCGGGTTCAACTCCCGGTTGGTGCAAATCGTTTTGCGTTTTGGGATTTGAAGCAATAGTGATCGATGAAAAGACTTCTTCGAAATAGAATCAAGAATGTGTGTGAATTTCACTAAAATCAAGGCACCAATGGTGTAGCGGTATCATTGTACCCTCCCACGGTATAGACCCGGGTTCAACTCCCGGTTGGTGCAAATCGTTTTGCGTTTTGGGATTTGAAGCAATAATGATCGATGAAAAGACTTCTTCGAAATAGAATCAAGAATGTGTGTGAATTTCACTAAAATCAAGGCACCAATGGTGTAGCGGTATCATTGTACCCTCCCACAGTACAGACCCGGGTTCAAACCCCGGTTGGTGCAAATCGTTTTGCATTTTGGGATTTGAAGCAATAATGATCGATGAAAAGACTTCTTCGGAATAGAATCAAGAGTGTGTGTGAATTTCACTAAAATCAAGGCACCAATGGTGTAGCGGTATTATTGTACCCTCCCACGGTACAGACCCGGGTTCAACTCCCGGTTGGTGCAAATCGTTTTGCGTTTTGGGATTTGAAGCAATAATGATCGATGAATAGACTTCTTCGAAATAGAATCAAGAATGTGTGTGAATTTCACTAAAATCAAGGCACCAATGGTGTAGCGGTATCATTGTACCCTCCCACGGTACAGACCCGGGTTCAACTCCCGGTTGGTGCAAATCGTTTTGCGTTTTGGGATTTGAAGCAATAGTGATCGATGAAAAGACTTCTTCGAAATAGAATCAAGAATGTGTGTGAATTTCACTAAAATCAAGGCACCAATGGTGTAGCGGTATCATTGTACCCTCCCACGGTATAGACCCGGGTTCAACTCCCGGTTGGTGCAAATCGTTTTGCGTTTTGGGATTTGAAGCAATAATGATCGATGAAAAGACTTCTTCGAAATAGAATCAAGAATGTGTGTGAATTTCACTAAAATCAAGGCACCAATGGTGTAGCGGTATCATTGTACCCTCCCACAGTACAGACCCGGGTTCAAACCCCGGTTGGTGCAAATCGTTTTGCATTTTGGGATTTGAAGCAATAATGATCGATGAAAAGACTTCTTCGAAATAGAATCAAGAATGTGTGTGAATTTCACTAAAATCAAGGCACCAATGGTGTAGCGGTATCATTGTACCCTCCCACGGTACAGACCCGGGTTCAACTCCCGGTTGGTGCAAATCGTTTTGCATTTTGGGATTTGAAGCAATAATGTTAGATGAAAAGACTTCTTCGAAATTTTTTTTATCCTTGCATTCTTCCCCTTATTCGGGGTCTGCTGCTCTCGTAAGTTCTCTCCATTCTTCTCGGTTCAAGGCTTGCTGTTCATTTATCTCAAGTTCTCTCATATCTGCTTTGATTTTGTCTAGCCATCGCATCTTGGGTCTTCCTTTTGGCCTCTTTCCTGGTACGTTCACTGTCATGGCCAACCTGGCTATGTGGTCTTCATCTCCTCGACTCACGTGTCCATACCATTTCAAGCGTCTTTCTTGCATCTTCTTGGCGACTGGTGCAACTTTCATTATGCTTCGCACTGTGTCGTTCGTAATGTGGTCCATCATGATGACTCCTATAGTCCACCTCAGCATCCTCGTCTCCATTACAGCAATCTTCCTCTCTTCACTGCGGGTACACGGCCAGCATTCGCTTCCATATAGCGCCGTTGGACGAACTACTGTGCGGTATCAGGGATTTGAGGTCTCTCGGCATCCTTCGGTCACATAGACCCCAGTCAAGCTTCTCCATTTCATCCAAGCTGCATTAACTCTACCGCTTATTTCGTCGTGTAGACTTCCATCTGCGGAGATACGGCTTCCCAGGTACTTGAAGGAGGTGGTCTTCTTGATCGTCGTGCCTCCAATCTGAATGCTTCCTGGTGTCTGAGCTCCAATCTCCATGTACTCTGTCTTTGTTGTGTTCAGCTTCAATCCGTGCAGCAAATGATCTTTCCATGCTGTACATCCGTTTGGAGTTCTTGCTTGCTTCTTGCTAGTAGGACTACATCATCCGCATACATGAGTGCCCACGGTGGTTGCCGTATGAAGTCTTCAACTATCGCATCCATCACGGTGATGAACAGGAGCGGTGAGAGTACGGAACCCTGATGTACTCCAGCGTGTATCGAGAATTCTTCTGACGGTCCTGCGGTTTGGACGTGGCTGGTGGCATCTTTGTAGATCATTTGGATCCATTGTACATAGTTCTCTGGCACCATGTGCTTGCGCAGTGCCCACCATATTATCTCGTGCGGTACTTTGTCGAACGCCTTCTTGAGATCTAGGAAGCGGCGGCGTGTAGTTGACATTGCTTTTCTCTGCTTCGTTCGATCATTATTCTGGCTGTGTGGATGGCGTCTGTCGTGCTACAGCCCTTCACGAATCCACATTGGTTAGGGGCCAGCTTTATGACGCTTCGAAGTCTCGTCTCCAGTATTCTTTCGAATATCTTCAGCGTGTGGCTCATGAGACGTATAGGCCGGTACGTAGAACAGTCCGCTATGTCCCCTTTGTTCTTCCATATTGGTATCGTTGTGCTTCTGTACCAGTCGCTCGGTATCTTCTTGAATTCTACTATCTGATTGAGTAGTCGCGTTAGCCAAGTGACTCCAGCTTGCCCACACTCCTTCCAGAATTCGCTGGGGATGTCGACTGGACCGGTTGCCTTTCCGTTTTTCGTCTTCGTTATGGCGCTGCGGACTTCTTCCCCTGTGATCTTCATTACCGGTCCTTTTACGGGATCTGCTACTACTGTAGATGACTTCTCGTAGCTTGTAGCGTAGCGATTGCTTCGAAGTGCGTTTGCCATCGTACACGTATCTCTTCTGGTCTTCTAAGGATTCTTCCATTCACATCCTTGATATTGTAGAAGTGATCCGTGTCTTGTGTGACTCTCGATCTCCTTTTTGCAATTCGGTATATCTCCCGCTCGCCTTCACGAGTGTTCAGCTTCTTGAAGACATCTGTCATATAAGCTTCCTTCGCCTCTTTGACACTCTTCTTAGCTTCACGCTTTGCATTCAGGTATTCTTCATGCGCTTCTTCTGTTCCTGACTTCTGCCATGTTCTATACTGGTTCTACTTCTTCGAAATAGAATCAAGAATGTGTGTGAATTTCACTAAAATCAAGGCACCAATGGTCATTGTACCCTCCCACAGTACAGATCCGGGTTCAACTCCCGGTTGGTGCAAATCGTTTTGCATTTTGGGATTTGAAGCAATAATGATCGATGAAAAGACTTCTTCGGAATAGAATCAAGAATGTGTGTGAATTTCACTAAAATCAAGGCACCAATGGTGTAGCGGTATCATTGTACCCTCCCACGGTACAGACCCGGGTTCAACTCCCGGTTGGTGCAAATCGTTTTGCGTTTTGGAATTTGAAGCAATAATGACTGATGAAAAGACTTCCTGAAAATAGAATCAAAAATGTGTGTGAATTTCACTAAAATCAAGGCACCAATGGTGAGCGGTATCATTGTACCCTACCACGGTACAGACCCGGGTTCAACTCCCAGTTGGTGCAAATCGTTTTGACTTATAATATGATGATCGGCTATGATAGAAGCGAAAATCAGGGGACAGCCATCAACATCCAAATTTTTCAGCAATATCGCCTGGCCAACGCCTGAGAAAGCGCAGCATTTCCGACAGTCATTCACAATAGATCGCCTCCAAATTAGCCACCATTTTCTTAGCACTGACACATCCTACTATTGCACAACGAGACCATTTTATTGCTCTGTTCCCTTAGTACAGTTGTAAAACTATTGATTCGCGAGGTAATTTTATTAATTTATGCAAACTTGAACACCCAACACGTCAACTATGCCTAATGTTATATCTGCCTCGATATGTAAGCTTGAAAGGAATGTGTACTAAAACTGTACACTGTTTCCATCATCACGCTCGCAAACATTCAGAAAGCACTTAATTCGTTCCATCCCTCCCTCATGAGTTTAGCTTAATTCGATGTATGCATAGCATTCACTTGCGAGCTGGCGAATAATATCCTACGTAGTCAGGAATAAATACCTCTTAAAGTTGAAGAAATACGAGGACTTTGGCAACCTGCAACTGCATTACAAGCGTTTGAGAAAATTCAACATTTAAGTGTCAGTAAAAAAAGTCCTTTAATGATTATAAGCTATTGAAAAAGCAATGAGATTGTTACCTAAATGGGTAAAGAAATCAGGCATAATTATTATTTATATATTTATTTATCCCTGCACTCAAAGCGTGTCATAAATACGAATGCACAAGCTAGTTAGTAAACAATTGCATAAAGTTAGTAGTACCTGGTTAACACCTCTTTTCTCCTCCACAGGGGAAAGCTTAAGGTTGTCCAATGAATAACAATTTGATTATTTTGATGATTTGAGCTCGTCAAAAGTCAGGCCAAAGCTTTTATCCTTCCAATCAAAAATTGGCTCTATCGGAGAGGTGCATTAGAAAAATATTGCTCATTTTTTAACACTTCGAAATTTTTAAAAATATTCACGAAAGTACAGTTAATTGCAGATTATGGGTGGCATCTATTGGAAATCAAGCGATGGAGGAGAGGTAAGTTGGCGAAACCAAATATTCTTGATTACTTAACAGCTTCTAATTAAACATTCTAGTGACCTTAATATGATAATGATTTTTTTTGAGAAAACCACGAATATATCCTACAACTGTGTCGATCGACACATGGCTTCATTGGAAGACAAGTACGACACAGCGTTTGCATGGTGAGAGTCAGCAAAGCTGGAGAATAACAAAATGAGAAGAATTTCCAGGGAAGGAAATTATTGGGACGATAATGTGCACGACTATGCCGATCTAAATTGGGATACTGTAGATGTGCTAGTGCAGAAGATTGCCAATATCTTCAAAGAATATTGCGCAGTGGTACTTTTTCAAATATTAGGAAGGAAGCTTTGATTACACTTTTCAGGGCGAGAAGGTTTTCTTACTTTTACATCACACTATCCAGCTTCCAATTTCTCTACTTGCTGCCAGCCGAATCGGAGCTGTAGCAGTTGTAATGGTATGCAAGATATAATATCAACATTAATGCTCAATTTTGATATAAAAGATGCGATATTGTTAAATAAACGAATGTCACAACAGGTCCCTACCATACCTTTGAACTTCACTCTCAATTTCTGCTCAGCTGGTGTTCAAGGACCGAAGAAAAAAAAATGCCAATATGCTCGTTTCTAATAACGATGTTAACTGGAAACGACATGAAGTCTACAATTTAGTACCTTAAAGAAAAATTACTCCAAACCATTATCATTCCGATAACTATAACCATAAGGAAACAGCAGTGGCGTTTCGGGGGAGGGGGGAGGGGCGGAAGGTTTGCGAAATTCTTGAGAATTTCTCACATGGGTTCTAGAATTGTGCAAGTGATTTGTTTATCTTTTAGATAACTGGTAAAACTTTTGAGATTTTTTGGAAATTCGATTAGCTTTGTAAAAAAATCTATTCGGGGCGTAAAGGTACCGAGCCGCAAACACTTTGGAAAGCATTCCAAAAATTTTTTGGAGTGCGTGGCTGACCCGCCCCATTTAAAATTCCCCCCCCCCCCCTCCCTTAACGGAAACTGGAACCGCCACTACGGAATAGGTATCATCTTCGTCTTATTTACTTCAGAATCCCGCTTCCACAAGCGCCACGGCAATAGCCGAGGTTCTCAAAGAGACTGAGCCAAAGCTGGTCGTGACTGTAGATGGATTCTGGCAAAGGCATGAGTTGCTGGCAACAAAGCAGACTTTAGATGAAGCACTAGTGATTGCACAGGTACGCACTATGCATTTAATTAGGTATAACAGATGGACAAAACTGAGAACATCGTTCTAGGTTTCTTCAGTGAAAAACGTTCTCGTGATTCGGCATACAGCGCCTAATCCGGGCATTCCACCACCGGAAGTAATAATACCGGGACGAAGACCTTGTTACGAATTTGAGGTGCTTGTCAATCCTTGTGCGTCTAGCCTGCTCTACTCAAGGTTCAACTTTCCAGGTAAAAATGAACGAACCAATGGATATTCTATGGACAGAGTTGGTAAGAAAAGCTGAAACCAGTTGCGATATCACCTGGGTGCACTCAGAACATCCCTTTGCCATTCTTCCAGAGTGGTAACCGTGAATCCCCCACTCAACCGAGTTAATTATTTACAAAGTTTAGGACCCCGAAACTGCAAATTCATACCATATCCACTGGACATCTGCTGAATGCTTTGGAGCAGTATTCCCAAAATATAACTTCATTCTGTCTTTCACTCGCTCATCCACAAAGCACGCTAGGATTGGTGGGAATCCTGGCACCATGGTTCGACGCTAAGGTCCTCGTTACGGTTAGTCAACATTCTCTTCTTATGCACCTATAGCGCAGCTTCGAATAGGTTGAAACTGTTCTTTATTTCAGTTTGAGGGCGTATTGGACCACCCAGATCCTGCTCGTCTCAAGCAAGTCATAGCCAAATACGAGGTATAATTCATTCCATGACTAACAACTAGAAACCGCTTTGCGCATAATCTTAAAACAAATCGTGTGCTAACAAGTTTGCGTTTGGATTCATCTAATCTAATTGTAAAATTAACCGCTACTTATGAACAAGAAAGAAAAACGTTCAGAAAAGTGTGCAAAGCGATTTTAGGTCTGTTAACAGAATGAATGATGTGAACCCATCATTTTAGGTAAAATCAGCGATTCTCCCACGATGCGATCTCGATCCAGAATACATGAAAATCGTTCCCGTACCCACTTTGTCTCGCATCATCAGCGAAGCCGGATACGCAGCTGTATTTACGAGAGATTTTCCAGGCGTAGAAATTATAGAGCTGGATGTAGAACGACTTTTAGACTAACATATATGTAGAAGATTAGTTGGAATTGCGTAAGTAGTCTTTTTCTTACAATACAATACCGAGACTTCATTTGCATGTGCACTGGATAAACATACAGAATGAGAGGAAAAGTTGAACAAACAAGATTCGTGAGATCAATGCACCAAGATGACCCACGAAGAAGATTACTTAATGTTAGAAAAAATTTGCAAACAAAAATCATGCTCAATTACTTAACGTGATTGCAGTTTTAGTCTTTCTTCGTAGAATCGAATCACTTCCTGAGGATACCTAAAAATCAAGAGTGAGTAGAAGTTTTGAAAAAAAAATGGTTTCAATGACCGACTTCACGTTGGCTTCCTTGGCAGGCACAAGATCGGCAGTGTGGTCTTTCCATTTGATGAGGAAATGAAGCTCTCCAGGGGTATCCGTCAAACCTATAATGCGATGTAACTGTTTCTCTTCGCGCTTGTCGCTGGAAACAGATGGTTCCTTCTTCTCTGTCTGTAAACACCATATTTGAACAAATGCTAATAAACCTTGTTGAGTGATCTGCATGAATACCTTGCTCCGTTTTCTTTCGAATTCCGCAATAAGTTCTTGACAGGATACATTCTCTTCCGGTTCCCAAGTGCTCTCTTCGAGAGGAAATCCCTGAATGCAAATCAAAGTGAGAAGATCAGCCAAACGAGGCGAAACATAATCCTATGCTTCACGCACTGATAGATTTAGGTAGATTTCTGTAATTCTTAATCTCAAAGGTCCCATAGGTTATACAAAGACGCATACGACACTGATAAATGTATATATATCGACGGAAGAGAGAAGAGCGCATTCATTTTTAAGTCAGATACCTGCCACTTAAGAAGATACTCTACTTTTCCGTCCTTAGCTTTACGCTTGTTGATGACAGCTTCCACAACATAGACATCCTAAATTGGCTTTTCAACAGTATTTTACTGAGTGTTTGCTATGGATTAGTTGAGATGGGGTAAAAATGGATCCGATTAATATAAAACGGAAAAAGTTCAGATTGGGCTTACATCTCCGGAGTCCTCATCGTCGCCCTTCTTTTTATCTCTGCCCATGGTAAATACTGAAAAAGTTAAGTAAAGCATAGTACATTAACGAAAGTTATGTTTACTGAGAAAGCGAAGACGACAAGATAGCCTTCAAAGAATGAAAATGCTAAAAACCCCAACAGATTCGAATCAGCAGTTGAAGAAACGAAAAAAAAATAAAAAGCACGACGCCACATGAGAACTCAGCACATATGCCCTTTTGAAACATTTAGGCGTCGTATAGCAAAAGATTGGTGCATAGCCGTATTTAAATTTATGATACAGTACCCCAAAATCGTGCAATCGTTGCAACCACAGCTCCGCCCTTTATTGAGTAGCGGGTTGGTGCCAACTTTGTTTTCAAATTTCAAATTGTCTTCATTTTTCTTTCGCTGTGATGCGTTACGACCGTCCTAGTTTCTCTTCTGTAGAGTGGTTCTGTTCTGTGCAATATCCTCTCACAAAGGAAGCGTGTATAGTCGAAGTGGCTTTTTCAGATGAGACCCATACTGCCTTGGAAAGTATTGCACAGTGATTCCAAATCTGCCTTCATTATCTGCCAAGCGCCTCTAGACGCCGAGTTTATGGACGCTTTTTGGCTCAAAAAGTGAACGCAAAACTGGAGCAAAATCGCCCAGATTTGCTGAAATGGTCCTGTGTCGAATATCAGAACAGTTCATGCAATGGATACATTTTGCCTAATAAGCTAATACTTAACATTGCTTTATCTGAGCGCTGGAAAGATTATAACAATTGTTTCTACCTACTTTTGCATTCATTTTTCGTCCCAAAAAACGGTCACATCTCGGCGTCCGAAGGTGCTTGGCAGATAATGAAGGCAGATTCGGAGCCACCGTGCAATCCTTTTCAAAGTGGTATGAGTCTCATTTAGAAACGCCACTTCGACTAAACACGCTTCCCTTCTCAGTTCTTTTGAAATCGAAAGTTTCGAAATCTTCATATGGGAATCCAAGTGGTCTTCTTTCTCTCCTTTTATTTTTGATTTGCATTATTTCTGCTCTTTGTACATTGCACAACTGGGATATCATAGGAGGCGCTGTATCCTTTTCACGGCCATGCCACCAAAAAGGAAATCACGTGGCACACCTGTGAGCGGAGAAGCCCGTACTACTCGTTCGTCTGCTAAGAAGGTAGGTTCATTCAGTAGATATCTTGTATTCCCTGATTTTTGTTTCCCTCTGAAGTAGCATATCTCCATCTCAAGTGCGTTCAAGTCTGCATTGGGGTCTGCTACTTCTTCTTCCATTGATGCTGCTTACTCTCACAAATAAATGCCAATTTCTGCAGGCAAAAGCAGATCATTCTGAATCAGAAGCATCTGCTACCTCTGACGACGAGAAGTCATTTGATAAAGGACGATGTATGAGTGTGATGAGATATGACTTTGATGATCTACTTACAAGTGGGTTTTGAAACCATTTCACTTTCCTCTTAGACATACCTTTTGCCTGAGTCGCTTCAAAAATGCACCAAAATGCAGATACTTTGTTCATCCTTTTGATAACTTTCGTGGAAGAATTAGAACACAACTTCATTTCAGGTGAGCGCTTCGAGCATCCCGATCTTGTGGGAAGAATTGAACCTGATGGTACGAGACTTTTATATCTCTATCATTTGCGAAAATGCGCTGTACGCTTTTGATTATTCTGTTTAAGAATTCAATATGGAATATTACGAGCAATCACGCCTCGCCACACCTCTCATATTTACGTGTGATCCTCATGAACTCGGGATGAAGTAAGAGCAGTTTCGAGTTTTGTTTGTTCTTCGATGGTGATACAGTTTCCCGCTCATCTATGTACTTGTTCGATAGTTTAAAGTTTTCAGAATTCCAAAAGCTGATGAATTCTCAGTGGATGATGTCCTACGGCTTGTTGGTGATGACCGTATGATCGAAGTTGTTGAAGTCAGCGGACAGACAAGTGTGAAGATGTCGCTGAAAGATTTCATTGACTACTACAAGTAAGTTTGATTTGTACGCGTCATCGCCGCAGAACTTATGATTTAGGGCTCCACAAGAGGAGAGGAAGACTTTGTACAACGTGCTGTCTTTGGAATTCTCGAATACTGAAATGGAGGTAACCAAACTCCGTTATTTTTGTAATTTCTTCAAGCGTTCAGTCAAAATTGCTATACAGGATATCATCCAATCGCCGGCATTGGTGCGACAGATAGACTGGGTGGAGAATCACTGGCCAGATGCACTACGTCAACGCTATATCACTTTTAACAAAAAGGGCCAATATACTTTGCACCATACCTATCCAAAAGTGCAGAAGTGAGTAGATTATTTTGTTCTTTCTGTATTATACCTTGCTACTATTTATTGCCTCTCGGTTGTTTTTGGTTTTGAAACCTTCACTTATGTTATTTGTTTTTTCTTTTCTTACTTCTGCGACCTCCTTTTGCGTCATTCATTTTTTTGCACAGCAGGTTGATTCAGCACTGTGAATCCGCATGTCATGCTTTATATGCAAAAAATAGGTCTTCTCAGAACTTCTTTTACGTTTTGTGTCAAATCTGACAAATTCAGCTATTGTCTGATGAGCGTCGAAAAATGCTACACCGATTTTCACGTGGACTTTGGCGGCACTTCGGTCTGGTACCATGTGCTGAAGGGTCAGAAGGTATGTGTACATGTTTATCTACCTTATTTTTCTTTTGTACTCTGAGCCTTTACAGATTTTTTGGATGATTGAGCCAAGTCCTACAAACATGCGGCTCTATGAAGAGTTTGTCAGAAATCCTGAACAAACGGGCTTTTTTGGAAATGTGGTCGACAAGTGTGCGAGAGTGGTCCTGAATCCTGGTACTACAACGATAATTCCATCAGGTTAAAAAATTTGTTCATGCTTGCGTATCATCAGGTTGAAATGCTTGCGTAAATAAAACAGCTGGGACATGTTATATTACATATTTTTTGACGGGTCGTAAATCAGAATAGTGGTCATTTATGGCGGGAAATTTGATTTGGATTGCAGGATGGATCCATGCTGTTTACACTCCGTCAGATAGCTTGGTCTTTGGTGGAAACTTTTTGCATTCACTTCGATCTGAGATGCAGATTCAGGTCTACCTTAGCGAGAATCGTATAAATGTAAGTTTTTCTTTTTTGCTGGCATTCGTAACTGGTAACGAAATTTGCCATACATGCTATGTTCCATTTTCTTATGGTACATTTTCGTCCATATAAATTATTTTTTGGCCTATCCAATTGATTTGTCGAAAGTCTCCAATGACTTTTTCTTACAGCTGTATGTGCGAGACTCGCGGTTTACGAAGCAGTACTTTTTTCAGATAACGAAAAAATTCCGATTTCCTTACATTGAAGAACTTATGCTCTACGTGATTGCGGACTTTGTTTTCAAATGTACCGGAAGACGTTATGTTCGACCTGCTCGATTGGACAAAGCCAGGTCACATTAAACATAATTTATGTATGTCTCTGTAACGTGTTTTTGTTTAGATTCGACTATGTAGGCAAATTCTGGAAAGAAAAAGGAAATCATAGAAAAGTCGTAAGTAAAACGTATAATCTCAATGGTGATTACACATAACTCATATTCTGTTGTTGTAGATAAATTACCATGACTACATGAGTGGTGGAATACAGTTGAATCCAAAGGATTTGCTTGCTGTCTCAAATCAGTCTGAGATACAAGACAACGGTGAGATTAAGTGCACTCGTACTGAATGGTCGAGGGGTTAATGACTTGGTATTACGTGCGGGGTACAGTGGTTCGAGTCCATGCTGGTGCAATTACTGCTAATGATGAGATAATCATCCTTGCTCTGCGAGCTGTGTATGGAATTCGTTGAGGACGCATAGTCAACGGGACATGCGCTCTGATATGAAGATAACATCACAGCGGTGAACAGCGTTGGCCTCTGAAGCAGGATTACTACCAAAATTTGTTTTTGTCTCAATTTCGCAGTTTACTCAAAACTTGTTACATTATGATGTCGCAGGTTTGAAAATATGTTCCCTTTCAGGCGTGGTCAATGTCATCGCCATGCACGCGGAAAACATATTGCTGTACAATACAGCAGCGACAGCTTCAGCGGTTTCTGCACAAAAAACGCAGGTAGCGGACGAAAATATAGAAGTAGAGGAGGAGAGCACAGACGAGAAAAGCGAGGAACAGCCCAATGACAAGCCCTCCTCCCTTCCTCATCACACAGATCCAACGATTTTCTACCATGAAGCGTCGGTGAGTGCAGTTTCGTTTATGCTGCTCTGTTCTCTCCTGTTAATTTCATTGTTTTAGATATTTCACGATTTATATGGGAGGTCCACTAGCGATCATAGAAACCCAATTGGTGATGAACCTCCGCTCGAATTCAATCAGTGTATGGCATTTGTTTTGAGATTTTTTTCAATTTATGTGATTGATTTATTATTTCCAGCCGAACTCGACAAAGTTTCACACCTCCTTCTACCGGAATATGAGCGGCTATGTGATTATCTCCGCAAAAAGCGACAACTTGATGTGTCAGAGGGTATCACGCAACCTGCCAGCCTCTTGCACTGTTTTCATTGTATACTGGAAAAAAGAAGGGAACAGCTGGTTAGTAAATTTGCGCTCATTTTGCTACCTAGTACTAGTTTTGAACTGACGATGCCAAGAAACTCAAAACAGCGGTCAGTGTATTAGTTTAAGAACTAAAAACGCTATTTTTTCACCAACTGAGAGCTCATGAAGAGGTTTGAGAATTTTGGCAAATATCTTAGTTGTCACTGGACACGTCAGCTTTGTGCAAATGCTATGAGAGCAAAATTCGAATAATATATTCTGCACTGTATGTGGGGCACGCTGAAAAAGGAAATGTGATAAGCCGTACTGCGTGCTGTCTGTTTCTGATGATTCTTAGTTTGCTATTAAGACATACTCTTTTGATGCTTTGAAATCAATATCTTCTCGCTATAGTATGGTACTTCTTGCCTGGAGTCGCACATCCGTAATGTCGCTATGCATTACGCGAACACGTTGTGGTCAACTGGGGTATGGTTAGAGAAACCGAAGGTCCGAACATTGTGCTTATGTCACTTCCTCAAGCAGTTTATTGAAGCTTATTCACTGTACAAAATAACACCTCTGTTGATCAAAATGATTTAATGGTCCTATGCAGTTTGTTCAGGATCTGCATATGAATTCGCAAATGTTAAGCATTTGGGAGGATTTCTTTTCAGATTGAACTGCATCTTCTACAACCAGTGACACCTGAAAAGAAGCCGAAGAGAGCGTATAGGAGGCATTCTCAGGTAGTTTTGCATGTAGCATTATTCTTTCATCTTTCTTTTTTACTTTACAATACGTCAGTTCCCATTATAATCGCTTGCAAGTTATTCGTGAGATCAATTTCCCTAGTCACTGTGATTGCTTCTCAAACTTTATAGCTTGAAAACAGGGGCGGATTCGTCTTGCGATTTCTTACGCGACGAGTTGACTGTGTCAATTGTGTGCTTTACGAGCGGTAATTGACTTCAAATGCACTCACAAAAGCCTTCCCAAAAAGTACATTGAAACGTTGAAATCATTGCCATTCTGTTGCTTCGCAATGATGTACATTTTGCTATTCAAGGGAACACCGAAAGCCCCAAGAGCTACGAAGTCGCGACAAACCAGTCAATCTTTGAGCGAAGATCACAATGTAAGTCTGTGATTTCAACTTTGAGCTATTGTTTGATTTGATCCACAAATCCAGAAAAACCCTGATGACGTTAATGAAGGACAAAAGGACGATCTAGCGGCAGGTGACAGTGAGGATCATGTGGTTAGTTTCATTTTGTCATACTGTCTGTGCTATATATCTCTGAGAGAAATTCTTCTTCTTTGACTACGCGTTTCTGTGTTACGGCTATCACACTATCAGTTGATGGGTGGCGAGCAAGAGGAACGATAGCTGATGGGTGTCAGCAACTTGCGCATCTTTTACCCTCATTTTTGTCCATCAGCGCGCAGAAGTCTAGAGCATTTTTTCCTATTACACTTTCATTTGAACACGAGATTATGATAAAGATTCTCTTTGCTTGGAATTGAGATGTGAAAATAAGTTATGAATATCAAAAAAGGGTTTTAAAAGTGAAACTTCAAGTATTTCAAGCTTATTCCTGCAAGAACATCACCGAGTTGCACATACCACTGGGCTCTGAGCAGAACTCATTGAGTCAAGCATTTATTTCAACTTTACTCAAATCTATAATTCTGAAATCAGCGCAGTCTGAGGCAAATGTTACATTGGCAGGTGCGGCTGGCAAGTGCTATCGTTCCTCTTGCACCACACCCTTAGTTGATAGTAGAGCTCTCAACATAACTCCTTTGGGTTAATTCTTTCTATTTAATTGGCTATGCTCAGAAAATGGAAGAGAACGCTATAAAAGAGGATGGCGTCTGCGAGGAGGCGGAAGTGAAGCAAGAGGAGGATGAAGCAATGGAGGATGAGGTGAGTTTCTACTCTATCATGGGTTTGCACGTGCCCATTCATAGATTTTCGCAAAGTGCACTAACATAGTCAAATACTTGCGTAATATTGCACTTTTGTGTCATAGGCCCTATCCAAACCATCAACATCATCCCGAAAGCGAGAAGAGGATGAAGATTATAATGAAGGTGACGCACAGAATGAACCCGACGATGACGATGATGAGGACTATGTGGATAAAGTGAGTGTTACAACAGTGTGTGCGCTCACCTGTGGTAGTCTTGTTGCTCGGTTCTGTAAAATAAGAGATTTCCAGCCGAAGAGGAAGTCCAGCAAAGAAAAAAAGAAAAAGGAAAAACCGGAGAAGAAACCGAAAGAGCCTAAGGAAAAAAAGACTCCCAAACGAAAGTCATCCTTATCTTTTGAAGATGCTTTGGGAGGTAGGAAGCAAATCAAGCACGTAATTGCTGTACCTTGGATGAATTACAGGAACACCTAAAAGCACGAAAAAGAAACATGATCCAAAAAAGGACAAGCCGATGTTTGTGGGTGGTTTACCAATGGCTGCCATTCAGGTATTGTTGCGGCGCTTCGCTCACATTTGACCCATTCACCGGTACTTTTCCGTTGTTCGGACCCATTTATTCAAAAGCCTCTCATATTATATGTTTTTTAGTCTAAGAATAATTGTTCATGGATTCTATGATGGCTACCTCCTTGCCACGTGTCACGAAAAAATTGACATGTTTTGGTTCATTTTGACATGTTTTTTTTTTTGAAACCATTTCAGGTGAGATAAAGGAGAATTTGTGATCATTTTAAAGCTGTTCGACTGTTTTACATAAGAGCAAACAATCATGAACTTATTTTAAAACATCTTGCTTGCTTTCAGCAATAATCAAAAATATCTTTCTCTTCAAACCCTTTTGACCATGCGAATTTAGCAAGAAAAGGTTATAAATGATAGCTCAAAGTACTTTGCTGCTGCTTATTTCCCTCTTGAATGTCGGGATCCTAGCCATTTTCTCTATTCTGAACAAATTAGGCTCTTCATCGATAACAGTATATCGTCATCATTATGAAAATGTTCATTTTGAAACTGTTTGATCGAAATGAGGTCAAAATTAACTAAAAAAACAGATTGAAGCTACATCGCTAGGTAGGGTAACACAAACTCTTGGTGAAACCGATGACATGTCAAATTTTTTTGACACGTGGCAGAAGGTTGACACTGTTTCCTGTGAGGCTGGGATAAGATATGGTACAAGGATAGAAGCAATATTTTTCTTTGAAAAAATGGGTCCGGATAACGGAAAAGTACCCATTCACCTTATACATACTTCTGAATAATATGTCCTTTCAATATTTTTTGCTTCTCAATCCCCATACATGCTCACGATTTGAAGTATTGATTAGAGTTTCCATCAGTTTTGAGATTCGATGTTTTGACTCCAAATTTCTGCTGTTTTAGGAGGGGCCTGTGGTGCCAAATGCTTACAACTATGATCCAATGGCTGAAATAATGAAGTTAGGAACAGGTCAGCTGCAAAGTGCCTACAGAAAGTCCAAACTGGTAGGATCACCTAGTTCTAGATAGTTTGATGTTTGTTAAAGTCACAGCAGCAATACTATGATAGCTCTTTTAGAATATTAGCCCTCCAAAGGACAAGAAAATTTACAAACTTGAGCCTAAACATCATGATGATGATGCAAGTGGCAATGTGAATAGTGCTGAAAAGGAGAAGAAACCAGGTAGTTAGGATTTCTTTGTTGAGCATAGTTTTTCTACTCGTACATTAGAGCATCCCCGACCACCAGTAATCTCACCGCTAAGCATCAATACAAGACGAGTCAGTGATGGAGGTTTGACGAGTATTAGTATAATCAAACGTTTCAAGATTTGCCATTGTAGCGCCCGCACGACCTAGTCCTAGCTCCAATCCTCCACCTCGTACCGGGTTCATGCCACGATTCCATGACATCTCACCGTCTGTTTCGAACTCTGCCAAATCTCCTCTGACATCACCAGCTCCGCGAAGAATACAAGCAACTAGCGTGGATGGCACCCAGAGGTACTTATAATTAAAAGAACTCTCGAAAGCAAGGATGTTTTTTAGGTCTCCCGCGGCAGATTTCAGTCCAGCTGTGAGCCGTGCAGCCCGTGCTTCCTTCAGCGAATATGGACGCGCCGGCCCTGTACTTTTCACACTTTTGTCTCCTTTATTCCATTACTAGCTGGCTTACCCGGCTCCGCCGTATCCGGACCAAACTTGGCACACATACACTTCGGGCCCCGGCGGGTGTCACAGTCCACTTTTCGTTATCGATCGATGTCGATTTTACCAATTTTTATCGATTTTTTTGCAGAGTTCACCTACAGGGCTAGGAGTTGGCACAGGGGGGGAAGTGAGCATGGGGATTCCGAATACAATATTAGTTTTCAGAATTATCGATTACTTTTATTGATTTTATCGATTTTTTGTAAATTTTGACATGCGAGGCTGGGATTTTGCACAGGGGGGTAATCAAGCATGCTAATTACGAACACAACATTAGTTTTCAGGATCGTCCATTACTTTTATCGATTTTATCGATTTTTTTTGTAAAGTTTGACCTGCGGGGCTGGGAGTTTGCACAGGGGGGTAATCAAGCATGCTGATTACGAACACAATATTAGTTTTCAAGATCGTCCATTACTTTTATTGATTTTATCGATTTTTTGAAAATTTGAGCTAAGGGACTGGAATTTGGCACATGGGTGTAATCGAGCATGCTGATCACCCCCCTTGGGAGTGATCAGCATGCTCGATTACCCCCCTGTGCCAACTCTCAGCCCCCTAGCTCAAACTTTGCAAAAAAATCGATAAAATCGATAAAAGTAATCGATAATCCCGAAAACCAATATTGCATTCGGAATCCCCATGCCCGATTACCCCCCTGTGCGAACTCCCAGCCCCGTAGCTCAAACTTTGCAAAAAAATCGATAAAATCGATAAAAGTAATCGATAATCCTGAAAACCAATATTGTATTCGGAATCCCCATGCCCGATTATCCCCCTGTGCGAACTCCCAGCCCCGTAGCTCAAACTTTGCAAAAAAATCGATAAAATCGATAAAAGTAATCGATAGTCCTGAAAACCAATATTGTATTCGGAATCCCCATGCTCGATTACCCCCCTGTGCCAACTCCCAGCCCCGTAGGTGAACTCAGCAAAAAAATCGATAAAAATCGATAAAATCGATATCGATCGATGACGAAAAGTAGCCTATGACACCCGCCGGGGCCCGTAGTGTATGTGTGCCAAGTTTGGTCCGGATTGGTTCAGAAATGGAATTTTCTATTCGGAACATACGTACAGACAGACAGACAGACAGACATACATACATACAAACAGACATTCAGCTTTATATATAAGATGAGAAAGATTCTAGGTTGGACAAATATCACCATCGCTGTCACGTAATGGCACTCCGCTACCGCCGCCACAACCGCATGTGTCACCAGTAGCGCCACCATTCAGTAAGTATAAAGAGATGTTTTAGTAGCATAAGTTGAATTTTTGCAACGCGCTTTAGGCTCGACAAGGCCACCACCGCTTCCTACAAGGACCCATGCATCACCGTCTGATCCGGCGGTGAGCAAACATTGACATCGTTTGTGCTCAGTGATATGATAAATGAGTTTCTTCTAAGAAACCCTTTTTTTCTCTTCCATTATGTACTCAAACAGTTTCTCCACCGTCATTTACAATAAATATTCTCAATGTAGAGATTTCAGCAACGTGATGATGCTCAGCGCGGTTTGGGTAGGCCGCCTCAAGATGTCAGAAAGTGAGTCTTAAGTTTTTTTTCGTCATGTTTGTATTGACACCCTTTTTTGTGACTGAAAGTGTTTTATGCTTTGTTCCTTATGGGATTCTCTTTTTCTCAGCCTTACATCGAAAATTTTGCAGGGCCCGTTTTCCTGACAATCCGGTGACTGACGTTTCTCCTCCACTGAGCACTGCCACGCCTCCATTAATACCTTCACCAGCACAAACTCTCAGGTCTCCAGAACTTCCGCCGGTGTTCACTCCTTCGACGACGGTGACGACTGCATCTACCACACCCACGTCAACCGTACAACCAGCGAATTCGGCTCCTCCTCGGATACCGATGAAACAGGCCTTACTTCAGCTGGGACAGATAGTCAAAGAGTTGAACGAGGTCAATGCTCTCTAGCTCTCAAGCAAGCATTCTCTTGCATTTCTGCACAGAAGGACTTTTTCGTTTTAATGTTGTACTCTTTCAGACCTATTCAAATAATATCAATCACAACTAGAAGTTTTTTTCTTTGAGTAATAAGGATTTCTTTGTTTTCATTGTATTTATCTGTTAGTTTTGAATTTCTCTCCAAGGATCTCTCAGAGGAATTGTTTCTGGTAAATCTGTGGCAGTGTCTTCGTATCTTCTCAAGCCGATTCATGAAGTGTTGTGTTTCTCTGAAGAACTCGATTACATGATCTTTGTTGACATTTCAATAAACGTAAAAAATTTTCAACTTGCTCGCTGTTCTTGAGGTCAGTCCTTTGTCATACACTGAGCGAGTCTGTGCTATTGATCCATTAGTATTTTTTGTTCTGATCTATCGGTCGGAATCTTCGAAGGCAGATTTTTCCAGATCATACATATTTTTTCATTTTTATATATTATTTTCTGATTGAAGGTCATTACCAATCTCCTCGTCTATTGGCGTCAGGATAGTGTTAAAATGACTAAGTCGCTCACATGAAGAAAAGCTCTTAACTTATCCTTGATTTGGGGAGACATTGCAACGGCAACGGAAACACGGCCATTTCGTATTTTTGTTGTCAGTGTCTCAGCCTATCTTACCTGTTCTAATTAAAGTAATGCTTAACATAACATTGATCCAACAAAAGTGAATGGAGCTTACAGAGACTGAGTGGTGAAACTAAAAAGGTGGTCTCGATCATTCCGCGTGAATTGGAGAACGAATTATATTTACAGCCATCTCCAAAATAACTAAACTCCACGTTCTTTTAGTCAGATTCGCAATGGCCATTCCATATCCGGTCTTATTCTCTTTTGCCTTATCTCATTATCTAGACTTTTCGTGTAGCTTTCTATCGCAAATAAGTTGTATGATGGAGCTACAACCACCCATTTTTGATTGATTACCTACTTTGAAAGATCATTTGCGTTAAATGATCGATAATTTTCTCGCTATTGCATATTTTACAGTAATTAAACCTTTATAGTATTGTACCCCGCTTTACTGTGAACCCTCATTTCAGATTCAATTGACAAGCAAGTATATACAAAATATATGTCTTCAGTTTTCTTCCAGCCAAAATTCTTATTTCCTTTTCTTTTCCTGAAATTTATATTACTCAAAACAAACTCACAGAAGAAGAAATCAGCTCAGCTGAATTTCACTTCAATTTCTTTAGGGTTTGGAGTACCTTTTTCCCACTTCATACCCTACTTTCAATGCCATGCACCCAACTTCTCTATTTTTGCTAAGCATAGCGCTATAAACTCTAGTCCCCTTAATAACTAGTTTTAGTCAAGTTCATTATCATAGTTTGTTCCTATTCTTATATTAGCAATCTCACCAAATTCAATTATCAGAAGCGATATTTTCGCAAAGTCCACCTATGATATCTAATTCAGCTCAGACTGCGCAGGGTAACTGATAGAGAGGTATTCGAGACCAACATAGTGGATGAGCTCCGATCTCTTTCGCGAACTTACCGCTGTTGAAGAACTAGAACGAGAAGAAAAAATTCTGAATAGGTGCAAGGTTTGTAGTCTGTTTCTTCGTCTGTCATATGGTAAGTTAATTACTTAGGACACTTTCATCTACAAAAGACCCGCTGGAATATCGGTGTTCTTCCGCGAGCCGATAGCTACAGCTCGAGCTGAAAATCAGAGTAGGTTTCAACTTTCCGATATTCTTAAATTTGGTCTGTTTGTAATCAGAAAACATCACTTTAGAGGAGCTAACTAAGGCTCGAGAAGCTGAGCAGCAACGGAAAACATCGACTAATCAATGAAGAGGTAATGTCAATTAACAGTTCTTTGAAGATCAGGCTAGACACCTTACTAACTAGTTTACACATTTTTCAGGAATAAATAGATGAAAGTGTGGTTCTGTTCGTTCATGCTTGTTGACAGCGATAACAATTCTCAAAATCTGTCTGACACCGTGCTTTCAGACGCCATACAGCCGCCGTTGTGGTGCTGGGCGATATTGGCCGAAGTCCTCGTATGTGCTACCATGCATACTCTTTAGCAACTCAGCTTGATTACAATGTAAAGCTTGTTGGTTATGTGGACTCAACACCTCATCCAATGGTCCACAACAATCCTTACATCAAGTGAGGTTTTCTGTGTTTTCGCGTTCTTTTTGTTGTGGAAAACAGACCTTTCTGTTGCCAGTTTTGGAAAACCCACTAATCAACGCTAACCTTGCCAATATCTAGATATATCCCTCTTGCGCCACCACCTGATCATCTTGCCAAACTTCCAGAAATGATACAACTCCCGCTGAAATTTATATGGACCTTCTTTGTTTTGTTGTGGGCGTTGATGTTCAAGTAAGATCAGATTGGCTCATCTGCTTGTCAAATTGATTTCTGCGCTTTTGAGGATTGGCTGGGATGTGAAACTCATATTAATGCAAAATCCACCAGCTCTGCCAACTATGATTGTTTGCTGGATTGTAAGTAAGTTTCCATTGGTTACATCTGTGCAACTATTATTTAGGTCGCACGATTGAAGAGTTCAAAATTTGTAATAGATTGGCACAACTATATGTGGTCAGTAATAAAAGACAAAAGCGGTTAGTTAATTTTAATATAAAAACAAAGATCTGCTTCTTATTGTAAGTACCAGCTACAGTCTCTCAAATCATCACTTTGAAAATGGGCTAGTAAAAAGTGATTGAAATGACCGAATAGCGAAGGAGAAATGCAAGCCCTAAGCATTTTCATCCTGACTAGCTTTATCCAACTCCTCTACACCATGCCACTCAAATGAGATTGATTTTGTCATGTGATTTCCAGGTGTAGAACATCTAACTCTTCCTCGACTCGTGGAAGAAGGCTCAGAAGGGAAAGATCTCATTAAGGATAGCGTTGTGAAGAGAAAGAATACCAGAGAAGTAAGTTTATTCTAATAAGGACTTGTCTTTCTTCATGTCCTATCCTAGGAAAGAGATGCAGCAGCAATGGCGACTAGACGAAAAAGGCATACTAGTGGAGAGAAGAAGGAGCGCAAATCTTTCAAGAGAAGGTAATTTTATGATTTAGATGTACGTTTTCGTTTTCTCCAACGTTCCACATATTCAGGTATATAGAATGGGTTTACCGCTGGGAAGGAGCTTTAGGCAGAAGAGCTGACGCTGGACTTTGCGTTACTAGAGCAATGCGGGAAGATCTGCAACGTGCTTGGGGTGTGCATGCGGCTGTATTCTATGATCGTCCACCTAGCTGCAAGTTTAGGTAGTTATAAGCATTTTCGGTACGCTTTGTAAACTCTAATCTTCCTAGAGAGTTCAACTTGAATGACAAACATGAACTCCTATTGCGTTTGGGCTTGGGAACACATGGAGAAATATTTGGCGCTAACCCGTCTGAGGATAGTGAGTTCGTTCTTGCTTGGTTGTGAGATTTTTGTCGTTTATCTATCTAACACCTTTTAACAATTGAAGATAGATTCCCCTTAGATTTCTTTCACGGAAATATGATGAACTTGAACTGAAAGTAACTTGGTTTTTAAGCGACTCGATTTACAATCCGGGACCCGTCAACACGTCAAGTGCAGTTACGCGAAGATCGCCCTTTCCTTGTGATCTCGTCCACATCATGGACGCCCGATGAAGATTTCCAAATTTTACTCGATGCTGCAAAGAAATACAATGATGTGGCGTCAATCAACAGAAGCACGTAGGTTTTCTGCAACCCGACTCTGAGACGATGCTTTGCGTCACACGCCCTAATTATCAGGTCACCTGCCACTCGGCTGCCCATAATCGTACTGGTAATTACTGGAAGAGGACCACTGAAGGAGTATTACATGGAGAAAATTCAAAGAATGAAGATGGAATATGTTGAGGTTAGTCGTACGCGAACTTCCAGTTTGTGCTTTCTTTTTTGCTTTTGTTTCGATAGCCATCATCCCAAACAGAGTCTTGCGGGCTTTTTTGTACCTTTGATATAAGAGTCAGCTCGTTTTCCCCATCCTGCTTCGCTATATATCCTTGGGCTGCTTTGAATCGTTGAGATGAGGTCGTGGACGGAGTTCAAAACATCAGTTCTCCGTAAGGATTCTACCTTCGCGCTCTAATGTCCAGCTAAAGAAGAGCATTACAATAAAGAAACCTAAGAAAGTCTCCAATTTTTTATCCGTCTCTGTGTCATCTTCAGGTGCACACACCATGGTTGGAATCTCAAGATTACCCATTAATGATCGCGACAGCTGATCTGGGAGTGTCCCTTCATACTAGTACATCTGGTATGCACTATGATTTTGTACACCGCGATGCGGGAAAGTGATCATATTCTAGGTCTTGATCTACCAATGAAAGTTGTCGATATGTTCGGAGCTGGCATCCCTGTACTAGCGAAAAGATTCAACTGTATTGGTGAACTCGTCCAAGATGGTCAAAATGGACAACTGTTTGATACGCCGAATGATCTTTTCCAATGTTTGTATTCGCTAGCCACGGGTTTCCCCACGCACTGCAAGGTAGTCACTTCAGCTGATGTCTTCCTCTAACCGAATTTGTGTTTTACAGAAGTTACATCAACTGAAACAGTTTGTGCTAGATGACCGCTTACCATCATGGGAAGAGAATTGGGCTACCGTAGCAAAACCTATTTTGGCGCCAAATCTTGATCCTCATTTCGAGCGAATTATGGCTACGTAAGTTTTTTTTTTTGAATTTAACGTTAGACTTTTGACATTCCAATTTATAGAGAGCCTGCTGAGCCGGAGGAGTAGAACATAGTATAAAATAATTTTTACACCCTCTTTCACTGATACGATCTTGTTGGTACGGTATCTTTTTTGCGCTTCTGTTTCTTCGTTTTTCTGTCTTCCCCATCTTCTATCTTGTTATTTTCCTACTGGTGACATTCCTACTGTGAACATACGCAGTTTTAAATGACGTGTTGTTTTGTTCTTTTACTAAGCGATGTTATGAAAATTTCTTTTTCAGTCAGCTTCACTATGTAAGATAAAGTTTTCCTTTCAAATGAAATTTGTTACAACAGTATACGTACACCTCTGCTTCAGTTCTCATGGTTTTTCAAGGCTTTCTCATGACTTGAAGACGTTTACCTCCAACTAAACTGTGCGTCGGTTTCAGTGCCAATCAAGGGTGAAAATGGTGTGAAAGAGGAATGTTGTTTGTTGTCTAGCTTACAGTAGTCACAGAAAGGTACTCTTGTACATTTGAGCACCAAAGTTGCCTTTTAGCATATATTGAAACACCGCTGTGTGGGAGCGATTCTCTGGTCTCTAGCGGACGACTGAAACGAGGATGATTGTAAGGTTCAAAGAAGCATCAACAATGTCGAGAATTTTGTCGCAGTCAAAATTGAACGGGATGTCATGTCTCCAGTTCCTATAATCCCGCCCATATACCGTGATTAGGGATCAGCGAAAAAGATCGAAAAGTTTCGATTTAAGGTAATCTCATGCAATGTGAAGCTAGGAAGCAGATCCTGACATAGAGACGCATCATAGGTGGGTAAGTCTGTATGTCAAGAGGCGCGATTTTTATTGCCAGCTGGACACCAAATGGCACATAATAAGTGTTCTGCAGCTTTCTAAAAGTAGATGAAATTTGGAAGAAGATGTATTAGATAGTTGCATGAGCTGTTCAATCTTGATACTTTAGAAAAAATTCAAAAGAGCAATTTTAAAGGTCAAAAACTTATGAAAATACATTTCAGAACAAATTCGTAAATATTTCATTCCAATTTATAGCAAAAACTATGAAAATCTGCAAGTGGTGACCTCAGGCAGACAGTAAGCTAATGCACTTTATGTGGTAATTTTTGTAGACTCGCATAGCACTAAACTGGAGTTTTAAGTTGGTGACAGCCAGAGAAATCGCGCCTCTTGACCGTCTCCCGGTAAGTCTGGCCAGACTTCAAAAAGCGACAAACTTTTTGGCACCCACAAAACTCATATTGGGTTTAGCACGGCAGTGAGAGGCCAAAAATTGGGATCAATGCGGACACAATTTGTCAAATTTTTTTGCATACCATGAGACGACCGCAGAATATTTGTAAGTTCCAAAACATATATTCTTCATTCGGTGACTCATTAACCTCTGGTTTCTCACATTACAAACTATCAGGCAAAATTGCTTCAGAACTTTTAAGGGGGTAGAAGCAGGAACTCCAAAGATTCATGTTAAAAAATTGAAAACGTTGTAGAAGTATTAAAGACATGGGATCGAAGAACTATAATAGAAAGGAACGTGAAAAGAGACTTGACGAATTACATCGTATAATGCTTTTAGATGTTCGCCCCCTGTAAATGAAACGTTCTGATTTTTTCGGACGTGTTTCTCAATTCATCCCGCACTAAAAAGGAGATATGCAGCACAAACTCTTTAACACTGCTCACAACAAGAAACAGCACTATTAAGTTGTCTCATAATTAATGCACGTTTTTTGCATTTCAACTTTTGATTAAGATAATTTTTTCCAAACATTTTTAAGCGCAAAAAGTCACTGCAAACACCAAACCTTTGTCTATATAAGCATGCTTTTGTTGGATCGTAGTCATTCTGCGGACGATTTTTTTGGGCCGAGTAAATCCTAAAGTTTTTTTTTCTCTAGAAACGTATACTTTGAAAAAGCTTAATTTGATCTCAAATGTACTAGAACCGCACAAATTTTGCTCATTATATAGATCATGGTCGTTTGTGCAACGAAGCGAAGTTTGAAATTTACTTTTTATGAGAAAATTTTGCAAAGAAATCAAAAGTACCCACTTTTCTAAGGCATTTTGGAAACACCAACAAACCTGCCTTTTTAGGATTTTTCAATTTTTTCTCTGCGAAAAGACGAGAAAATGCTGCCGTTTCCTTAGCATTAGTTGAACTAGGTCCACTCTAAGTGTACATAGCGAAATTTGTACAGCTTTTTGCCTGAGATTTTCATGCAGCATAGATGGGTCTCAGCGACCTGCCAAGTTTGAGACAAGAGTTCTCGGCTCAAGATTTTTCAAAAATCTAATATTGAGAAGAGTTTTGTAGCACAAAACTTCGCAATCTTTATTCATATTTTGAAGAAACTCCGCCTACTTTTCATGGATTTAGAGCAAGGAGAATGAAAGTTCATGTTTCATTCGTTTGGCTTTGAAGGCAGAAATACCGGTTTGAACAAAGATTCGAAAACAAAAGCAGATATTACGGGCTATAAACGGCGGTTTTGGAGAAAAGTGGTTTTTCTCTGAGAATCAGCTTTCTCAAAAAGAGGTCAGAAGAACGTGCATCAGTTATGGGGCAACCTAATATTTTCAAACATTTTGATTGCTCTACTCCCGAATGTTTTTATGGATTATCTTGCTAACAAAAATGTAAGCAATATTGCTTCCAAGCTTTTTTGTTTATCATCGCTCTACATTTCTCTATCGCGACTTGTAACTCGTAGCAATAAAAATCGAAGGGCTCAGTGTTAAAACCGACTCTCCGATTTTTATTGCAATCTGATTTTTTTACGAACAGACTCGGAAAATCAACATCTGAGTAAATTCCTTCTACCGCTTCTGTCTATGCAGCGTTTGCTCACAAGGGAAGTTCGCTTAGTCGAAGTGGCGATTCGGAAGGAGATCTATACCAGTGGATAGTGCTTAAAAAGCTGACCACAGATATACCTTCTATATTTGCGACGCTTTGTTCTGAAATAAGTTATGAGCTTTTCTAAAGCCAAATTTTGGAACATTCTGAGTCGCAAAATATTGATAATCTCTACAAAAAAGTGTGCAAGCTTAAGCAAACCACCTAGTAAGCATTGTAGGTCTAACTCGAGTTCATCCGAACGTTTTCGAGTGTTTTCCAACCATGTTGTTTATTCACAAGCCATCATTTCCTTTCTAGATCATACTTCCATTATATATTGAAAAAAGCCCATAACCTCCATCTAGAAGAAGGCGTCGCAGATATTGAAGATATTTTTGAGGACATCTTTTTACGTTCTATGCATTGGTAGTTTCCAAAAAGTTTCCTACGGACGCGTTTTTCTAGATGAAGGTTATGGGGCTTTTTTGTATACATAATGAAAGTGTGATCTAGGATGAAATGACGACTTGTGGATGAACAACATGGTCGAAAAACATTCGATAACGTTCGGATAAACTTGAATAAGACCTACAATGCTTATTAGATGGCTCTTAAGCTTGTACACTTTTGTGTAACGATTATCATGATTTTGCAGCTCAAAATGCATGAAAATTTGGTTTTAGAAAAGCTCATAACTTTTTTTAGAACGACGCATCGCAGATATATTAGATTGTCCCGAAAGTTCGTTCGCACCATTTTCAAAAAATCATAACTTCCTTCCCTCACAATGATTTTGCGCAATTCAAATTTTATTGGAAAGCGTAAAGCATGTAGTTTCCAATAGTCCCCTGGTGATTCTCCCATGATCAGATTGCAGAGATAAAAATGAAAGAATGAGAACATCTAAAATCCGGAATTTTCGAGAAACAATTCCAAAAATCTAGAAACTGCGCGATAAAATCCAGAAAAGCCATTATTCTAATTTTTCTTATATTTGATTACTAACTGAGTTAAGTTTGTGCTGATCGAGCTCTTCTTTCAAAAGTCATGATTTTTTGAAAAAAATTTCGAAAAATCACTTTCCTAAGAATTCCTAAGAAATTGATTTTTCGGCATTTTTTTTCAAAAAATCATAACTTTTGAAAGAAGAGCTCGATTAGCACAAACTTAACTCAGTTAGTAATTAAATATAAGAAAAATTAAGATAATGGCTTTTCTGGATTTTATCGCGCAGTCTCTAGATTTTTGGAATTGTTTCTCGAAAATTCCAAATTTTGGATGTTCTCATTCTTTCATTTTTATCTCTGCAATCTGATCATGGGAGAGTCACCAGGGGACTATTGGAAACTACATGCTTTACGCTTTCTAATAAAATTTGAATTGCGCAAAATCATTGTGAGGGAAAGAAGTTATGATTTTTTTGAAAATGGTGCGAACGAACTTTCGGACCAACCTAACAGAAGGTAAATCTGAGATCAGCTTTTTATGCTCTATCCACTGGTATAGATCTCCTTCCGAATCGCCACTTCGACTAAGTGAACTTCCTTGTCAGTAGAAAAGCGCTAAAACACTTATGAAAAACGTGATTCACTCTTTCAAACGAAAAAAGCAAGCAAATTGATGGGAAGATCGGAAGTTAATCTTTGAAAACGGTGCTACAGGACTTTTGTAGCACTCTAATACATGACGTCGTTGTTGACGTCGACTTATCGCGTAATTCAGATTTCATACGGTACAAATATCCCCGGTTCGTGCAAAACTTTGAGTATTACGTTAGCTTGGCCCCCAAATGACTGGACACGTGACAAACTTTGTATTTGTGAGAATAACTCTGTTTAGGGATCCAAATAGACACTCTTGAAATGATGTTACAGCCCCAAGTCTCCATTTTTTCAGTGAATTACAAAGTTGAATTATAGATGTATACCAAAGCACAAAAGGATATCCGTAGACAATTTTTTATAAGCTTATTAGCTTTTTTGAAGTTTATGCTTGCTGAAGAGGTACGGAAAGGTGTGGAAGTAACAAAGATTCTCCATGGTGTGACCACGGTGTTACATGAGTGATGTGATGGCGCAATTTTTCGCTGGTCATTTAGATGTTAATAGATTTTGATGTTGTATTCTTTCATTTCTCAATTCACACCTAAGTCACTGTCGAATTTTGCCAAAAAAAAGTCAGCATTGTGACTGCTCTCAAAAGTTATTGTTTTGCCTTTAATTCACGATACATTCTAAGATTGCGCTTAAAGATCAATGTATGGAAGACGGGCTTTCTGCCAAATTACGTTTTCTTCATGTTCAGGTCAGTTGGATGTTGTTAGGACTATTTGTACAACCGATCTTGCCTTCAAAAGGTTAAATTTCAAACATTTCAAGAAAATGAGTCATTCTTCAGAAAAATCTGGTCGTGCTAACTTATTAGGCAGGAATTCTGAAATAGATAAAAAAAATTTTGATTTATCAATAAATTACTTCACTGGAGAAAATCGTATATTTACAGATGAGTTTTGGCCGCGAAAATGCTTGAGTTACGCCCAGTACTGCGGCAGCTAATTAGAGTTTGAAAGAGGTACGCAGAGAGAACCGCATCGCGGCACCTGCTAGAATTGTGCAATGTCTGCGTTAAATGACTCGACTGCACACTCTCGGGATGACGACGCGATGAAGACTTATGCGATAATTACAAAAAATACAAATCTATGACAAAAGGGTTTGGCCACCTTGCGATATTACTGGCATGGCCCACACACGATGAGTCATTGCATGCCATTTGTACTGTTTCAAAATAAAACTGCTGAATCATTGTTGTCCTAAGTAAATGACTGTTATTATTGGGTAGATCGAATCCACAACAATGCTGAGTTAAATTCATTGCGGCCAGCGAGTGGCATATCAACTAAAATAAGAATGTATCTAGAAAGCTTCGAGGAGGCGTAGGATAGGTAAATGCTTGGCTAAAGACACTTGGGATACATATGCATGAAATTATAGTATTCTATGACAAATGTGAGGAAGAATCATCGACAGCTGCTGAACAGGAAGGGATCACTGCGCGATGCCTCCTCTTTTCAACCCTTTTGTTCTATTATAATGCTTCTCCTTATTCTGACAACAACTCAAGCCTCCCAACTTCTCGTCTTTACTCTCATCGAAATTGCGATACATTTAGAACATTCATGCACATATGCAGCCATAGAGAATAAGTTTATTCACTTTTTTAGGGTAAAAGGGAAGAAAGAATGAAAACAAACTCAGTTATGCCAGAATTCCAAGGGCATTATCCGAACTATGCGAAACTGTAGAAGTGTATATTACAGAGCGGTTTGTTCGTCAAGAGTGCAAATAAAATTCCATTGCAATCACGATCAAGATGGTCTCACCCAAGAGTAACCGGTGAGAGTCGAGAATTTCGACATCAAGCTTCCAGGCGCGGTCGATGTGATCAAGATTGCGTAATTCAGAAACTTGCAGATTCTACGAAACCACATGCGAAAGGGTAGAACCACATACTTTTCATCAGATTACCTTTCATTAAGCAAAATGTCAGAGTGAGAAACCACATCATTTTGAGTGAAATTGTAGAAGCAAATGTCGGGAATGGCGTTAACGTTTTGTTGTTCAGGTTCGTGTAAAGCAGACTACAAGTGTGGTTGAAATTCAATCTATCACTATAGTCACATCACTCGACAAGATTCTAAGAATCTGCCTTCCCGCCTTCCCCCTAGAACTAACCCCAACTGTTTCAAGCACGGTCTTCGGCGCGCTCTATTGGCTCTACAGGTGTAGATTACCCGAGCAGGGCAAGTCAGGTCGACCCCGCCGATGTCTACGGGGGCCAGGTGGTGCGGTGCGCGGGGCCTTGTCGACGTCGTCGTCGACGGACGGGGCGGGGCCGAGTGGTTGTGGTACGCGCGCGGGCTGCCCTGTGCGTTCGTTCGTATCGCCGCCGCCGCCGACGAGGCCTCGGCTGCTGCTGCGCTGCTGCTGCCCGTCTCCTCCAACACCAGCACTCCCCCTTCAGTCGCGGGCCATACGGGCCCCCGTCCAGCAGCAAGTGCGCTTCGTCCACGGCCGGTCTTATCGATTCGTCCAGAACGATTCTGGATGTACTGTAGATCTATTGAGACGTCGGTTAGAGATCTATGGGACCTATAGGTTCTTATGAGGCTGGAGACCATGCTGTCTTCTGATTCCTACTCTTTCTTGCCATTCTGGGGTGAAATTGACGTTCTTGCGGTGTTTTAGCCTTATTTTCATTACCTATACTTCACTCTCGCATTCGATCATCATCAGGAACTTCTTGTTCCATCGCTGCTCTTACTTCAACCCCTACAAATTATAGGGTACCAACACTTCCATCCTCTTCATCCAGCAAGTCTACACTCTCCATATTTCGCCTGATTTGCTTCCTAGAAATCTCTAGTAAATTTTGGGCACATCTCCATCAAAACCCACCGATTGGCCTCTCTCCTAGAGTACCCCTTCTATGGATGTCTACCGTACACTTCGACCTCCTTCCGTCAATATCTGCCTCATGGATCACACTTTGATCCTTCTTTGTGGTTTTGCCGACGTCTCATACCATATGGATGACGTCATCGATTTCCTATCATATTTTGTGATTTTCGCTATCTCTTCCATGATCTCCTCTGCCTTGACGATGTTGTAGGGAAGGGGTAGGAAAGGAGTTAGGAAGAAAGGACGAACTTGTCTACTTGACTCTCGACTTATAGCTTTACGCTCTTGATATACAAAACTGATTTCTTCCTATCTCTCCCCCACACCTAAGAAATCTGAGAACCTAAGACTTTGGTATTTTGATTTCAGACAGCTTCCAGTCAATCCCGCTATCAAGATCCTCATCTTCCTACCTTCTATCTTCATACAACATTTCCCGAATAGTTGTACTACACGTCCATGACTTCCTATGTTTCACCAGTATCTCTATGATCTTCATCGATATGCTAATTGTATCCGCCAGTGGGGTGAACTCTGCCCCAAGTGTCACGAACAGCCTGGTCAGGTCGCGACCTCCTGGTCATCACCACCCTCTACTCCTATCCGCACCATGTTTGCCAGCTCTTATCAATGTATTCTGGCAACATGGCAATGAAAAATGTGAGAGTGCAGAAAGTGCAAATGTGGAACATTATGAGCATTTATTTTGGAATTCGCATAGTTTCAATATCGCACTTTATCACCCCTCTCTATGGGATTTTGGTTTGAAATGTCTTTCCCCATTTCAGTGAAGTGTGCAAAATCTGATAGTGAATGCCGCTGGTTCCCTGCCTGCTGTGCTGCCCTACAAGCAGCAACGGCTCGTTGGATCCAGTCGAGCGCAGCGATGAGAGCAAACCGGAGAATGAAAGAGAAATCAGAGACGAGAAGAAGCCGAATGGACTCAGCAACGGCGTCGAGTCCGATGCTGAATCTGCCTTGATAGTGGATGAACAAGCAGAGCCCAGTGGACATTATGAACAGGGAGAAGGAATAAGGTAAGAGCGGGAAATTTTCGGAAAGCGACGGTCAAAATTTAGAAAGATTTGCGAAGGGGTGTGAAAAAGCGGACGCAATTGCACACTTAAGAATTTTTGAAACATTGTGGTTGCCATAGTCGTCATAGCTTAGAGGCAGTGTCTAGGCAAATCTGATTTATGAACTGCCATTTTCACAAACTCGCTAGTCCCAAGCTTATTGAGATGTGCTGTCAGTCTACATGTAGTAGGTTCACTTGCATTACCAACGCAGGCAATGCGCACACTGCGACCATTGCGGCGGCGCCTTCACCTCTAAAATAAATTACTCTTTCTTTTTGCGATGAAAGATAGTGTGCAACCCAATGCGGCTGCTTTTGAATTTTAGGAAAAAGTTCTTTTTTCATGGACTCTATAAGAACCCCCTACAGTGGCTTATCAGTATTCTAATCGTGTTCAAAGACTGAACTCTATTCCTTGACTTTAGAATAGCTCTTCTTCGGCTATGTAAATTTTTTTTTCTTCAAGAACGCAAATCTGTTGCGGGTTCTGTAACAGCGTATAAACTTTCATAGGCGGCTATTTGTTTTTACTTATTGTCGCTAACTTTTCTTTATCGTCAACAATGGGCTTCTAATTTTGCCGCTTTAGTGAAGTGAATCTTCACCAAAAGATATTGAATCCTGCCAGTTTTTGTATAGGAGCAACTCCTGTCATTCTTGGCTTTTTGCTGGGAAAAGATATAGTGTTTCTAGAACGTAAGCATTTTTTAACTTGAACCATCTGCGAAAGTTGTTCAAGTTACAGCCGAACATTAGTAGATCTCGAAGATACCAGTAAAAAACATTTTTTTTTCACGTCAGCACTTATCTCTATTCAGTGAGTTTTTTGTAGGCAACACTTGATTGACTCGCACGCGAAGTTCGTCGCTAAAGCATTTCTTTACCCGGATCTGTCATGTTCGATTCATTATTGGTTGATGGCATGTGTCGAATATGGAACTCCTCCAAACGATCCGATGATCAGTCAAATCTGCGCCACAGCTGAAAATGACGTTTTGACGGCTACAGTGAGTGCTTTCTCCTTTTCCCGTGTTTTCACCTCTTTTTTTGTGCATTTTTGGTTTTTTGTTTGTGAACATCTGCCATCTGTCATCATCGCCGTGGTCGTATTGCGCAAACAGCTGTTTTTTTTTTCTGTCATGTTATGGCGTTATTAGTAAGTGCCAGTTCAGTGCGCTTGTCGCACACTTCATGTGAAGATGTAAAAGTCGCGAATGTGTTGTTCTTCGTGTGTTCGTGAGGATCAGTTTTCTTTGTTTTTATCATTTTTTCACGTCTATATTTGGTTATCCTTACATGGTTCAGATCGTATAGATTCCTAAACAAGATTTTCTTTTGAAAAGCAAAGTAATATTTTATGAAATCAGAAAGGAAAATTATGCTTATCTATACTGATGACTCTCCACTTAGTCTCTCTTCGTCCGATATCTATCAAATGTAACGGAATTCTTTGAAGATAATTTGTGACGTTGAAATTTTTGGGCTTCTTGCGCAGCCTAGATTTCCTTTTCTTCTTTTTTTATACTTCTAGATGAGTGTCGAAAAGTCCGAAGTCTTTGGCTAGTTTAGCAAACTACCATTCATATGTGAAAATTCTTTTGACACCCATGCTATTTCATATGTATGTCTGTCAAATTGCGCGTAGCTTTCCATTTCTGTCCAGATGCACTTTTGTATGATTTGCAGTAACATCTAAATGCGTAACACTTCATTGAAATTTCTTCCGAATTGCCTACAACTGCATATGTAATTTATGCATACAGTTTAGCTAAATATTTTTGTAAATGCTAGACTATCTTACCTGTTTTCTTGCAGCTCTTGGAATCATCAGCTTATTTTTCTCTGTGAGAGTCGGTCGCTAGCAGTGTTGTCTTCTTTTTATTGCGTTCGCTTCGTTCATACTTTTTGCCGCGTCGGCGGATTAGCGCGCCTCTGCTGAATGTTGTTGTCGAAGTTCTTATAAGTGAAATGTTTTAAAATCGCGGATGGCATTGAGTGGACAGTAGTCGGCTGATGACACTTTTCTCATATAGAACACTCTTCATGCTTCGAGGCTTTCCAAAAGTGGATGAGACACGAACCAAGTTCGTAACCGTAATGCTTCACTTCTAACGCCTTGATTGTTGACAGCTGTCTGTGAAGGGGAGCTTTTCCTAGTCTGTGACTTCCCTGGTCTTGGGTCATCCCCCGGGATGCGATTTTTTTCTTTTGTGGAAAAACATACCTTGATTTTTTGAGACTAATTATAATCACTTGTTTATGGGTTTATGGTTGTGCTATTAATGTACGCACTGAGTAATCCTCAGTGACCCAGCAGAGCGCTTGGTTTTCCCCAAACAACGACCTCAACAGCAGCAGGTCGTGTGAGATAGGAGTGAGAGCGACGGGATGGATATAAGTCGGGGAAGATCATGACTCAAATGATGAAAGAGTTGCAAGAAGAAATAAGATGAAAATGGTTAGTAAAAAAGATCTTGAATGACATAAAAACGGATTGTGATCTACTCTGTGGAAGTCCGCATGGAGTATACCTACATCGATGAATTCGTGAAACTGAACTTTCATCTTTCTTCAATTATTTTGCTTGATAGTCATCTCTGCATACTTTTATTGAAAGAACATTTCATTTTTGAGTTAGCTGATTTATAGAAAGGTAAAATTATATCTGTCATTATTCGTCGTGTTTGCATACGTTAGCTGCGCATTCTTTGCGCTCTGGCGCTTATGCGTGATGTTGGGCCCGGCTGGCGCGTCTCCAGCCGAATGCATGTGTCTTCTTCATTCGTCTCGTCTCCTCGCTCTCTCGCTCGTTGCACCGCACCACAGCCGATAGTGCCGAGCTGTCAGTCCCGTGGAAAAGGCCGGAGGACGGCTCGGACGGACGGACGGCGATGGACGGTGAGAGGAACGAGCGCTGCGAGGCCAGAGAGACCCTCTGGCAGCGGCAGCTTCGAATGCGAGTTGTGCAGCGACGGTGTCGAGGTCAGCACCGAGAAGAGACGCAGAGAGAGCGCAGAACTCTTCGGGAGACAATCAGCAGACTCCCCCCCCCCCCCTCCTCCCTTCTCCGTGCAGCTACTGCTGCTGCTGCTATCGCTCAGCGAAGTGACGGCGTGTGCGCGTTGGCCAAGCTGATGGGAATGTGAATGCGCTCGGCGGCGAGGGGAAGAAGGCAAGGCAAGGGTTGAGTGAGGGGTTTTCTGTTCATGTGCGCAGAAGTTAGGGTGAGGGTTCGTTTTTTGGATCTGGAAAAGGTCATAATCTGACAGCGGATCACTCCTTATAGAAGTATAGCTTCTGTTCCCACTCAAAGTTGGTATAAAAACGAATATACCGATTGGTATAGCCTCCATCCCTTCTGCTCAATAAGTTGGAAAGTTTGGGGATACAGACCTACAATTAACTCCATTCTATTTTTTTGATTTTCTGATTTTATACACTTCTTTATACCTTCACGTACACAACCTCTTCGATTTTGTCTATTCTTCAAGATCTGTAATTTCCGCTTGAACTCAGAAAATTCCTTGCTTTAACCTACATTATCCATTGTCTGAGGGTTGGAGCATCTTTTGCGCTAATTATCTGAAAGCAACTTCGGGTGGGATTTGCATACGGAATTTATTTATTGAATGATATTTTTTATTTCTGTTTCCAACGATCTTGATGCTTGACCGGTTGGTTCTTGAGCGGAGTTCTAACTACAAACTGATCATTTATATCTACATTGGAAATTATTCTATCTTCATTCTGAGCCTTTTCTGTCTCCATCGTGATGGACTTATTCTCATGGCGCTTCTCAAGAAGCATAGAAATGAAGCTTGAATTTATTAGCTTACTTTTCATCACTCCTACAATGTTTGAAAGCGAGAGTTCCTGGAATAATTTGCGAATTTCAGCCGCTGTAGCCGTTTTTCGATCCTGAGGTATTTTCTCGAAAGCGCAAGCTATGTCGTGGAAAGTGTACGTGATGGCTGCCGTCAGCAGTCGGTCGGTCGCATCGGAGCGATGGCATTCAAATGTGGGGGGATGTGCGTGTTGGTGTCTCGGCCGTCGCTGGTCGGTGGTTGCTAGCAGCAGCAGCAGCCTTCGCTGCGTCTCTACCCTCTTCCCCTCTACCCCCCCCCCTCGTCCCTCCGTTGTCCGATCGCTCGGACTCTTCCCCGGCTTCGTCACCTTTTCCGTGCTTCGGACTCGTATAAACACTCCGACGAGCTGGAAGAGTGTGAAATGTGTGGTAAAAATATTACCTAGTAGAGTGGTGGGGACAAGGAGTTGTCAGGAAGAAAGGATTTCTGCTGACCGACGAGAAGCGGTGACGACAAAAATTCAGAAGTTAAAAATGTCTTAGAAAGTCTGTGAGCAATAATCTTGTAAATTTGGGAACCTTCTGCTAGGTACCACCTTTCAACTCACGCACGCAATCATCATAATACTTTATAGACTAATTCTAGATCGCCGTTGACGTGATAGGAGGAGGAAAAAGAGCTTTAAGGAAATTATGGATGTTTGCAAGGTTACTTTATGATCAAGTAAGAAACGGCAATTTAAATAGAAAAAACTAAACATCGCTTCTATGTTTCCCTGCATCGCCCATCTCTTTCCTCTTGAAATGTCGAAAAGCACTTAGAGAGCTAGAATTTCTCTTGCTGAAGAAATCGGAAGCATAGAGATTTTAAAGCACCGCGAGATGTTTACAGAGGAAATGTAAGACATTCTGGAGCTTAAGTAAACATACTAAGCTCATGTATGCTTCGCATCTAAAAAGATATGGTTGAGTACCCCTCATCAGACTACATCTCTCACTTGCCCTATCTGATGAAGTGCGCTTCAACTCCCGATCTATAACCGCTATTAGATCTTTAGCGCTCAGGTGAGCGAACGTGCACGTGTTCTCTGTCCGTCAGCAGCTACGCAGCAGCTATAAGTCTTTTTCGTCGCCGACGCCGATGCCGTGTGGTGTGCCCGTACGCGCGTATCTCATCGGAGAAGTGGCGGTGGCGGTGACAGATCGGCAACGGCAGCGGGCAGCCCCGGCCCCGACGGCCTGGCGGGCCGGCCGGCCCGTCGGTGGTGGCGTGCTGCTGCCGCTGCCGTCGCTGTCTGTACGTTTCGATTGCACTCTCCTCCTCTCGCTGCTGTCGCTTCGTCGTCTCACGGTGACTGCTCTTGCTGACGATGACGATGCCGCGGCGAGAAGGAGAGGGATCGTCGCTGAGTGGAGAGTGTTAGTGGAGGGGTTGGAATTTTTATGAAACTACGTGTGGAATCACATGGGGTGAGCAGTTTGTGGCACATACTCATAGTGTGTTGAAAATCACAGCAACGAATGTAGTTAACAAAAATAATATTGAAGGAAGGAAAGAGGTTATAGAGAAGGCGGAAAGGAGGAATGCGATTTCCAGTGGAAGAACTTCGAAGTTTTTTCTGGAGATCAAGAGACATTTTTCAACTGCTCTTTTTTCCCGTTCATTAACATATGGGCGACTGCAGTCTGAATTCAGTGGCGGTCCGACAAATTTATTGGGGAGGAAGGGGGGGGGGGGGGGGGAGGAAGGGAAGCGAGCAAGACTTTTGCGAAGGTCCGTGGCGATGGTGACCATGTCCTCCGGAAAAATTTTTTCGGGTGCCCCGAAACTACAAGAAAAAAAGAATGACGCCGGCCACGTTCCCGAAAAGCTTCTGCACAAGACGAGTAGCTTTTAAAAGTTTTTGAAAGTTATTTCCTTTTTTTTACAAGATACAAGTAACTTGCTCATTTCCAAAACGCATGTAAGCTTCACTTAAAAGTTTCGCCGCCCATTCTCGGAAGACAGGGTTAGCCGATGTATCATCTATAAGAGATGAGTACTTTTGTCAGTGACTTAGCATTTTGTTTTTTTTTCATAACTGCTGGGTATGCCTCGTGCTGATCGAGGCTCATCGACACGAGCTGGTGTTGGTGTCGGCGGCGCAGGGAGAAGAGAGTGACTGCGCGTGCATAGCTGACTGGCGAACGAGCTGACGTGGTCGTATGCACTCCGGCTGCGAGGGACCTGCTGCTTGAGCAATGCGCGAGAGCAGTAGTGTGAAGCTCTCTCGGCTTGTAGATTGAATCAGAACGTATTTTATATGGGCAAAGTGCGCGTTTGAAGTGTTTGTGGAGCTGGAGAAGAAGCTGAAGAGAAGCTTTGAGGTAGTGGAAACGCTATCCTGTTCTCAGGCAAGCATAAAGGCTTTTGCTTTGCTAGGAGAGGACTGTCTCGGGTCATCGCTGCCGCAACCCGTGGTGTTCGACACGGACAGCTGTCCTAATGACCGTCTTGGCGCTCAACGCCATGTGCTGGCGAGGCTTGGTTCGGTTGCTTGGCGGCGTTGTCGTCCTCATCGGCCGAGGTCGATCGCAGGCACACAGACCAGCCACCCTCGTGAGTCTGCGAAGAGACCAAGCCGAATGATGATCAGACTTAGGCAAGGGATTGAGAATGATGTTCTATGAAGAAATCTAGATTGAAAGTAGTAAAAACTTAGCATTCTTTACTTCATCTTTTTGGCAACTTCTATAGAACAATGATGGGTATTCTGATGGGCATCTGGCTTTTCCTCCCCTCAAAATCTGCGTCTGATCCCGCTCAGAGCAATTATTTATCATTATTCTCAGTCGAGAATAGTCATATCTTGCTGATTCTATACTCAATAGCTTAAAAAACTCGCAAAATTTTGAACCCTTCGTTTCTAACTTTCCGCGCAGATCACCTTTGATTCTTCTCTAGGTAGGCTTTCGGAGGTTTTGAAATAATTTTTCAAATTATCTACTCTTCGAAAAATTCCTTAAAACAATTGCATCAACCACTACAAAAGACTCATGGTTTGAAGGGTTTAATACTTGATAATAATCATAGCTTGATTTTGCAAAATTTTAGCATTTGTCTATAATATCGTGATTTGGAGTTTTTGGATTTAGCTATGAGAACTGAAGATTTTAAAGAGGAAGTTGTAGCTGCTGGAAAGAGAAAGAAAATCTGCGTTTGATCCCGTTTAGAGCACTTATTTATCATCATTCTAATTCATTCAAGGCTAGCTTCAAAAAGGTTATGTTCATTTTCTTTACTCATTCTAGTATGAACAACGAGTAAAATTATTTTTGTGACACAGGTTCAGTATCTTGGCTTCTCATTGTAATCTTTCGGAGTAGTGCGGGTTCTGCTGAGAATTACGAAGTGTAGATTGCTGTCTACCATAGTGTAGATGAAATCGAACAGACATGTAGATGACTTTGGATATGACATCTTACGTTTTTTTCTAAACTGTTTGGAAATGTCTTTCTCACATCTGTCTCAGGCTTTGAGACAATATCGTCTACTTTCCTTCTTCTCTTCTCATTCTAAGCTGCAGTTGGCTGTAACCGCTTCACCAGCTGCTCGATAAACGACCCGTTCCCGTCGTTGACCATGACGTGCCTCGTGGTAAGACGGTGACATTTGAACGGCCCAAGGACCGCTGTATACAAAGGGACCACAGCGTCGACGTCTTTCTCTTCCTCTCTTTCTCTCGCTTTGTCTCCTTGTGGTTTTTGTGGTCGTCGTCAGACACCGCATGTTTTCTGTATAAGTGTGACTCATACCACTGATGTGCAGTTCGAAAAGTGTCGAAGATGAAGAAAATCCTGAGAGCTGTATGTTTGTAGGATACGAGCCCGGATGATGATTCAAGCAATGCATCCACCTCAGCTGATCCGCTGGACTTTGCCTCTTTGCTGACAGTGTTTATTAACAATGGCAATCAACTCTTGAATGGGACCAAGCCCAGAGGTGACGCGGTGAGTTTTTATCTTAAAGCATGTGCATGGAGTTGTCATGAAGTACATCGACCTGACATCTGTCAGGGTCATCAAAAAGTGCAAGCGTTTTTCGCTGTCGGTTCAATTTTTGATGAAATCTTCAGCAGTGCTATCGTTTTGGATCGGTAGATTTAAAGTGCGATTATTTGAGGTTTTTGTAGGTGAAAGAAAAAACTGTTTTGGTTGTTGTTCACTCATCGAATAGATTGTTGTTTTGTTAGAGATTAGTCGAAATTTAGAATGTTTGCTTGGAGAAAAAGAAAGAAGAAAGAAAAAATCTTATTTGTTAAGTAACCAGTTTGAACTTAATTTTTTGAAAGTTTTCTTACAAGGGAAGGATACTCGGTCGAAGTGGCCATTTGGAATGAGCTATAGATTAGGAAACCGTCCTCCGTAAGGCAAACTCAAAACTACTTTCGCTAGGTGCCGTGCGGTTTTGTGGGGGGAGTTACAAGGCCATTTTCCTCCGGCGCAGCCAGTGCACCCAGTGATGAGCGAGGCGCTAGAATAGCGCAGCAGTGTGGCAGTGGCGCAGTGGCAACGCAGCGGACTACGAAGCAGATGGTCGAGGGTTCGAGTCCTGTTGCTGCTATTTTGTTTTGCAGTTCTGTAAAAGTCTATTGGGTGACAGCAAACGAGAAATACTATTTCTAGGCAGTCGAAACAAGCTAGTTACTGCAAAAAAGCCACTATTTCTGCAATAAGCTATAATCTTCTAAAATATGTAAATCTATGGAGGTTATGATGTCACAACAAGGGATTCAAGTGATATATTAACATGTATGGAATACAACCACAAAATGCTCAAAGTAGAAGAGCCTCTCGCAGCGCGCACATCGGATAAAATAAAACGATGACAATCAGCAGCTTCACAATTGCCTATCAAAGTCGGTGAAAAACAGTACTGAATAGGAGACTCGAATTCGCCGGGGTGGTTGTCAATGTATCGGGCTGCATCCATGGGTATGAAAGCAAATTTTTGAATCGCGGCGAGCAAAATTGTGTGTAAATGAGCGATAAGATCTTAAGGATGGAATCCCTATGATGCAAGGTAAAGTTCAGATCAAGAATCAATAAATGGGATGTGAATCGATTGCAATTTTGCAAGTGCGCGCGTTGCGAGAAGCTCTTCTGCTTTGAACATTTTGTGGTTGTATTCCATACATGCTAATATGTCATTTGAACCCATTGTTGTGACATCATAATCTCCACAGTTACATATTGTAGAAGATTATGGCTTATTGTAGAAATAGTGAGTTTTTGCACTAACTAGCTTGTTTCGACTGCCTAGAAATAGTATTTCTCGTTTGCTGTCACCCAATAGACTTTTTACAGAACTGCAAAACAAAATAGCAGCAACAGGACTCGAACCCTCGACCATCTGCTTCGTAGTCCGCTGCGTTGCCACTGCGCCACTGCCACACTGCTGCGTTGTTCTAGCGCCCCGCTCATCACTGGGTGCGCTGGCTGCGCCGGAGGAAAATGGCCTTGTAACTCCCCCCACAAAACCGCTCGGCACCTAGCGAAAGTAGTTTTGAGTTTGCCTTACGGAGGACGGTTTCCTAATATATAGCTCATTCCAAATGGCCACTTCGACCGAGTATCCTTCCCTTGTTAGTAATATACAAAGTTCCCACGTTCGGTAGCTTCAGCTACGATCATAATTGCGCAGTCAGTATATAATATTTCAGAGATCAAATAGGAAACGAAGTGGTGGTTCACATGAAAACACCGGCGCTAAACGTCGCAATGGTTTCCAAGAAAATGTGCCTTTAGAGGTGGTTTTTATAAAGTTTTCCCGGTGCTTGATTTTTTGCGATATCACCGCAACTTAAATTTTTCCAGCTTAATGATGATTTGTCCGCTATCGATCCTCACCTTTTTTGCGAAAATGGTGAAGAAGCAAGCGTTAGTGGTGGTCTAGTGGATAGTAAAGCGAAAAATAAGGTTACGTGCGTGGTGAGTTGGAGAAATTTGTTTGATACGACACAGCTGTACGAGAGTGCGTTTAGGTGTGCAAAGTAGAAGTATGTAATACAGCACGACAACGGCATGTATTCATGGTGCATGTGAAAAAGGACGATATGTACCAGTAAGTTTCTCGACGTTTTTATACATGAAAATATGAAAAAAAAACTTATTTATGAACTGAAAAAAAGCTTGTAGCGTTTGTCTTTACTGCACATTTTTACTCACCTCTCCCAGTTTCTCGGAGTACGCGAAACTTGAAACTAATGCGCGGTTTTGCTAATTATTTTGACGCGTTTTTTCTTGAATCTGTATATTCTTGAATGCTATCTGATCGACTATTGCTTGATTTTTATCCTGCATTTTGCGCGAGGTTCCTACCCATTTCAGATGCCCAGAGTGTGACTACTTGAATTCGAACTCGGTTTGGGAGGCGAAAAAGCACTGCACGAGTCAGCATGGGAAGGGAGTGGAACCGATCAGCAACGAGGAGAATTACAAGTCGCTCATATTGGTGAGTTGGAATTGAATTGCTGAAAGTTTTAGAGTCTTTACTGTGACACGGAGATATTTAGATGTGGAACAAACGCTGTTTCCCGGAATGGAAGCAAAAACGGCCACAGTGGTGGTCTTCTGATGAGAACTCGAATGGATTAATTGGATATAAGGACTATAAAGACGTGAAGATGGATAATGATGAGGTTACAGCGATGATTAGGGTAAATACGACTGTCACAATCTTGTGAATCGAGTAATTACAGCGCATTTTAGGAAGCCATACTTAGCAGAGAACCGGGTGACTCCATTATCCGCGACGAAGATCGTGACGACTCAGAGCCACGGACACCAGCACCTGAAGGCTTACAAGTGGATGACAGGACTTGCCATCTTTGCTGGGAGGAGAGCAGGTAAATAACGCTTTTTTACTTATGTTGAATATTTGATCCATTTGATCTACAACTGTAGATATCCTGGGCGGCACATTGCACAAAAGCATCTGAAAAAGCCTTTATACGAGTGTCCTGTTTGTGAGGGATTTGGCAGCTATGAAGGATGCACGGTGATGAAACATATCCACAAGGTGAGCAAAACCTACATCTCATCGTACTGTGGGTGTACGGTAACCTTCCCAGGTTCATCCTGATTGTCCAGACGCGCAGCCGGTCAGCAACTTGGAAAGATATGCTGATGAGATTCGTGATCTACAAAATCGTTGCTTCCCTAATCGACCAATGAAACTCGTCCGACCAAAGGAGAGTACGCGTCCAAGAGAAAGACATCATTGCAAGATGTGTGGCACCCAAGTGAGCATACTTGCACTTTTTTTCTGCATAATGTTCGTTTTTATTTTCCTTTTTTTTTCTCTCCCAATCACTACTTGCACAAAACCTAGTTACGCTTGTGGGTTATTGGTTGGTCACGCCCGTTTTTGACTCTGACTGACTATTAGCGCCCCCTGTCACACATGAATGTGTGTTGATTGGATAGTTTCTAGGTAGCTCAGTCGGATCGGCAACGGCATGTGTATCATAGGCATCTGCAAAGAACTCGTATTTTTGAGTGCCCATTATGCAACTTTGCATCAAATTATGACGTCCATAGGTGAGTTGATTTTTGCTCGATTTTCGGCATATTTGTATAGATACTGAATTAATTCATGCCTGTTCTGAAATTTTTGTCTTTGACTTTCTTTTCTATTAATACTCGTTGGCTTTAGGGTAAAGTGGCACATAAAATGGATGCATAAAGATGACAAAGAGCTGGAGCCAATATCCCATGAGAATGAGTATAGGTGCGTGGAATCGCTGGCTAAGTTGACCTAATTGTCTGGAAGTATCTTGCTTCAGGAAAGAGATAGATCAGTTGAATGAGGAGTGCTTCCCTGGATGGCAACACCGTCGAAAACCCTTTTGGTGGCTTGACAACGATGATAAAAAGTCAGAGGTACGGGCAAAGGTCGTCACCAGGGTTGAGCAAGAGGTCAGGCACAAGTCCTTCAAAAACGACCCCCCTCCGTGTGAAAGCCCCTAAACGACCCTCTCCTTCCCTCCAAGCTCCTAAGAATGTTATATTTTGCAGAAGACCAACCTTCACTGCAGCTTTCTATTTTTTGAAGGTCTGTAGGCCTGAATTTCTGCAATTGCGCAACCACACGCAACTTGACGGCAAGTTTTAGATCTGGATAGTCCTGTTTTCAGAGCTATTATTCTCACAGGGGTGGAGTGTTTGCCTCCAAATTTTCAATAGAGCAAGAAAAGGCTTTGCGCTCAATCTTCGTGCTAAAAGAGGAGCGATTTCTGAATTTTGAAGGCAAGTTAATGGGGTCAGGCGCAACCCCTCAAAAGCTCAGGCGGCCTGACCTTTTAAGGGGCTGCGCCTGACCCCATTAACTTTATTTCCGAAAAGGCTTTTCTACCCAACTTTTATGTGATTCGCTAGCTCAACCCTCGAAGATTCCACTGTAAGTGTTTGAGCTTGATTCGACTTGTTTCAGCCTTGTGCTAATTCAAGGAGTTGAAGCACTCAACGTGAAAAACGCGCCGGTTGGAATTTTGGCAGCACTTCTTACTTCACTGTTTGAAAGCGATATGAAGCCCGATTTGTAGCATAGACTTGTAGAGAACATTACTTTGTTATGAGTATACAAAAGCTTACTTTTCTCACTTCTGAAACCAACTTGATCACGTTTAAAATCACGCTTTTTAGGCGTTGAGAAACACTAGAAACTGCAGTAGGTAATGGTTTGTAGAGTGCATAGAGGTAATTTGACATGCTGATTATGGAAATGATACCCATTTCACACAGCAAGCTTCCTTGATTACCTCATATGTCAAGGTGAAAGAGATGAAGTTTTGAACTTTGGCTGAAAGTTCCATTGTGAGAACGATCAGTAGGCTCTGTTTATGACCGTCATTCCTTCATGTGGTCGCGATATCCACCTAACTAGCGCTTTTCTTCTTCAACTTCGCAGTATCTCCCCAACTTAACAAATTCGATTCTTAACGACCCCCCCCCCTCAGTCTTACCCTCAATACGATCACCCAGGTCGGGCGCGCCTGACCCCACGCTCAACCCTGGTCGTCACTTAAAAAACCAAAAGGAATCTTAGCTTTTTAGGCTGCTGACGAGACTAAGCATGAAGAGATGGATCTGGATGAGGATACGACTGAAAATGGTTCAAGTCGAGTGAAAGAAGGAACACCGAGCTCAACTGGAAATGATATGGTGGGTAATTTTTAGAAATTTTTACTTTTTTTCCAAAATTTCAATTTCTAGGATGACTCGACTTGTTGCGAATCTCCTGAAGGTAGCGTTGCAGACAAGGATCATGTGGGACAACCCATGAAGCGCGTTAGCGAATGGACTTGCCGTGTTAGTCACCCATGATTTCATAGAAAAGTGAACTTTTGGGGATCGATCACTCCTAATTGCGCATTTTCAGCTTTGCTTGAAAGAGTTCAAGCCAACGTCGAATTTCCTTCGACATGTAGCCAAAGACCATCTCGACATGCCACTTTTTCAATGTGCTATGTGTGAATGGGGCGCTGCTGATGCTTACGAAGTGAAGGCACATATGGTCAAAGTAAGCAGAATGATCTCATTCGATCCGTTACCTTTTTTGTTTTTCATTATCTCGAGTCCTGCTACCCACATGTAGATGTCTTATTATCAAAGATTACCTTGATGTTTAGCTTGACCTGAATCTTTGACTGGCGCACATTTTCTTGAGGTAGGTGTCTGCACTGTGAAAAAATACGGTAACAACATCTTAAGTTTGACATTTCTTATTTAACAAAGCTTTTAGCGCGTATAAATTTTCTTTTTCAAAAGCATAGTATGTACACTTCAAGGTACATTTTAAAATAAAATAAACATTGACCTTAGCCTCAAGCAGTGGCGGACCGAGGGGGGAAGCCCTTTCCCCCCCCCCCTTCCCCGAAAATGGGTTGCAAAATTTTCAAAATTCACTTACATGGGCTATAAAAATGTGCAAGTGACTTGTTTATTCTCGTAAATAATTATAATAATCTTTAAAATTTTTCAAAAATTCAAAAGCCTTGTAAAAAAATTTTTTCGGGGGCGTGGCTGAAGCCACACCTTTTTTTTCGAAATTTTAGGGGTTATAGCCCGGAAAAATTTTGAGAAGCACCCTAAAAATTTTTTCGGAGTGCGTGGCTATCGCCACGCACCTTCATTTGAAAAAAATTTCTGCCGCGTCCCCCGCCCCCCCCCCCCCGGCCCGAAATCCTGGGACCGCCACTGCCCTCAAGGTATTCATTCAATAGCTGAGATAGAATGAATTATATCTCAGAATCACAATAATGCCGACCTCGATCCTATCTCCAATTTGGAACACAATCCAGAACATGTCCAGCAGCGATTTTCTGAATGTTTTCCTTCTAGGAAGATGAAGGTAGAGCAACAATCATCACCAAATCGATTTTCTTGCTAAAATTTTTCTTCCAGCCAGGCACTTTCGACAAGAAGAAAGAGTCAACAATGTTGAATGATGAGACAAAAGTGACCTGCCAAGAATGCTTTCAGGAAATGAAAACTGAGGATCGTCAGGTCTGTTTCTAATCACAGTAAAGAAGTGGGCCCGTTTGTATGATTGATTGTTCAGATACATGTCTATCGACACCATCTCAAAGAGCCGAGACTCTATGAATGCCCGCTTTGCGATTTTTCACATCATGCATGTTCCAGTGACGTTCGCGCACATATAAAGTAAGTTTTTCCAGTCGAAGGATTTACTGTTTTCTGTCATGAGTAGTTAGGATGTCGAGTTTTATCATTAGTATTAGCAACTTGCTTTTTGAATTTGCGTGGGAGTAACGTATAAATTTTGAAGAATGTATGTGATGGTAGAGTTATCTCAAGTTCAAAAATAATTTGAAAAGAAGCAATAATTGCTTGACATCAAAAGTAAAGCGAGGTTTAGGTTTACCCATCGCGACAATGCTGATGTCTTACCGCGAGCCAATTTGCTGCAGTACTCGCAACAAATTGCTGAATGGAATGATCGATGTTTTCCGGGATGGATAAATAGGAAGCTGCCAGCTAGTGTGATGGAAGATTTCAACAGGTACAAGATCGTTTTTTCTCTATTCATCGATTGATGCTCAGAATTTTTCTCAAGATGTCGACTATGTGACGAAGACGTACGGCAGACGTCACGGCACATTGCTGAAGCACATCTTATGATACAGCTGCATCAGTGTCCTTTGTGTGAATATGGCGCGCCAGAGTCTCGTCTAGTGAAGAGACATCTGAAGAACAGTCACGATGAGCTGGTTAGTCATGCACATAGGAGAGATTAGTGTACTACAAAAATTACTGTATGTACGGTATGGCATACTGATTTGTTTAGGAAATGGAACCGATTGCAAATGTAGTCGTACGACGTGCGGATTTTTCTGCACTGCATGATAAATGCTTTCCAGGGCGGCCAAAACGTCTTTCGAACATCACCATTTCTGGTGAGTTGCCATATTTTTCGCTTTTTCAGGCGCTGAATATTTGATTTGTTCGTCAGTTTTTTTTGTTTGTTTTCGAGTTCTGTGATATTTGAAATTTCCTCTGTTAGATGACGGACGGAGAACGAAATGTAAGCTTTGTCTGTCAACCATCAGTCGCAAGCGACGTCTGACTCATACACTAGAAAAGCATATGAACATGCCGTCGTATGGGTGAGTCATCAACATCGATTGAGATCGATTTGGATATTGATTGATGAAATTGTAGATGCTCTGCTTGTCAATTTACCCATAATTGGGACGAATCGGCTGTGACGAGCCATATAAGAACAGCTCATGCCAAGTCGTCGAATGCGAAGGCAAGTGATTTTTATTCAATTGATTATCGATTTACTCCATGTATAGCTCAATCTTTGATTTTTCTAGGTCCTTTGTTTGCTTTCGCAATTCGAAGCTGAACTTCGCGAGCGAGGGCAGCAGTGTTTTCCAGACTGGAGTATAGAAGCCAGTCATTTTGAATAGGAGAAATTACTAGCTATTGGTAGTTAGATTGAGCTGATCGATCAATATATCGATCCCCTACATGTTTGCTTTATGCCATGCTTTATGATCCCGTTGATCCATGTATCCGGTCTTAATATGAAACGTTCAATCAATAGTCAGATATTTACATGACATCTGTTAATTGTTTATTGTTATGCTTGTATGTATTCATGTTTGCTTTCCACATCAGCGAGTGCTTATCTCAGCTTCAGGGTTCAAGCTTTCCGCAAATACTTAACTTCTATAGGTAATTGGCTTCCAAGACATACATATAACTTCAGCGCATTCTTTTTGTATGTTATGTTATTCTTTTTCTTAGAGAAGAAATAATTACTTATGCTCATGTACAGATTCACATGCCATGACATTTTGTCTGATTTTCTTACTGATTTCTTGCCACGTCAACGTTGTCATTTTATGCCATTCCGTTATGTGAAAATTGTACTATAGACATTCTTGATATGTATTGATCTCGGTTATGCATTGTTTTATTTCATTTGTTTTATTTTTCTAAAAGTTGAGTGTGGTAGTTGTTCTGTTCATAAATAAAAAACGTGGTTGAATGAGTTAGGGCTTCATGCACTGTCATGCAAATTTCTTGCATAAGCAAAGTTCTTATGAGTGTTATTTGCTCTCCGTCCCCAAAAGGATTCCAGGGAATAGGAGCTTTTAGGGCCGCATGCACTAACATCCCTGCGGCGAGGGGAGCGGCGTAGTGTAAAATTTTTTGAAAACTTGATGACTGTATGTAAGAAATTCGCAGTCTTAGCAGTGCATCAAAATATGTCTGGAATGCAATAATAATTCGGAATATAGACTATACCCTTCCCCACCCACCTAGAAATTTTTGCTCAATGCTGGTAAAAAGCTAAGCGCTTTGGAGCACATCAGAAAATGGGGGTTTTGTAGAAGGTGACGCACAAATTGCGCGCTTTTTGATCTCACTGAAGATATGCTATGACACAGGACTATCAATGAGAAATACAATCTTTTACAATCTCGCCGATTTTGTCTTTGGAGATAATTTGTAACTCGTTGAGTTATCAAAAAGTGTTCAAAGCTCAGCTCAGAAGACGCCTCAGGTGAATATGATTTGCGCTTAAGAACGTAATTTAGTCGCGAACTAAAATAAGTCATCAAGTGAAAGAATACGACCGATATCTCTGTCTAGAGTCAAGGACAATGTTCTTTCGTCTAATCGTGTATCTACTAGATCTTGCATCTGTCGCTAATTCTAATCTCACCTCGTTTCTTTACTTTTTTGTACCTAGTGAGTAATTACAATCACCTTGCTCTTCCTCAAGATCTACCGATGAAGGGGTATCAGAAAAGTCACACTGGCTATTAGCCCCAGCTATTTATTGCCTCGAGGTAAAATTAGGCACACTACTCTCTATCTTGATGTACGTCTCCCCTTTATTTGCTGAGGATCTACTAAAATGGCAACCATGTGCTTGATTACGGACCTACAAATTTTCGCAAGATCAGTTTGATTTCTAGACAGAAGATTTTACAAGGATTCGAAGAACCTTCAATTGTACAAATGGACTTCCATAGTAAGGGTTCTAATTGAATTTTGGCGACGGAAACATTGGAAAGATCGCGACGAGACAGTCGCTCTAGATAATTTCTCGCTCAAGCGATTTATAGATACCATTTCTGATTCATGTTTCATCAATCCCGGACTGTTGTTGTTCTTAAAATACAGCTAATAATTGTATTAACATACCAAATCTTATCAAATTATAAACATGCAATGGTTGTCGCGATTTTTCCGTCGTGGCGATCCAATGAAAATAATTTAATGAAAATGATGAATACTTGATGAAGCTTTGAATTCTTGCAACGTTCTTTTTCCACTGACATCATCCGATTTCGTAGAAAAATTATTTCGAAGTTATGGAGTTTCGACAGTTTCATCAAGATTAACACGCCTCAGGCCGTCTTTCCCGCCTGAGTCAGGGGCCCAATCGTAACGATTAGACTCAGTATTAATGCAAAATACTGCATTGCCATTTACAAAATTTTGCATTCTCCCCGCAAAGTGATTCATATAGATGATTTAATAAGTCCTAGATGCTCAGCGTAAAAAGAGTTTTCAGAAATCACTTTGGTTTTAGACCACAAGATGAACAGGAAAACGTTGAGAGAGAGATTAGTGCACATTTGTGTTGGGCAGAGTGACAGGCTAAAAATTTGTCTAATTTTAATGCAGTTTCTGTCGAAGCCTCAGAAATTCTCCTCCATTTACAGGTTTAATGTACATCGGGCTACAACCTATTCGCAGGCGATGATCCAAGCTGGGATTTCCAGGAACATTTTAACCTTGAGATAATCAGACTGTGGTGTTTTGTTAGGAGAGTTGTAGCCAACATGGCTGAAAGCTTGTGCCAGCTTTCGGCAATCTGCAGAATCATACCTTCAAAGTTAATGACGACATTTTAGGATTTTTCAAAAGCTCTGAAACCTCAATAATCCCTGCTGTTTGCTTTTCACTTCTATCTCCAGATCAGCAAAGAACATGTTGTTTCAAAAAACGAGAATATGAAAACGGATTGACAACTATAGATGTACACTTTGATAATTTACAGGCCGGACTCTCTGAACTCGCACATTTATACTTTTGGAGCACTGAGTACCGTCAAAATCACAAGTGGATTAGACGATGCGGAGCAGTATGTATGCCAGAAACGCACTTCTTTATGTGTAAAGATAGCAGATTGTAATTTAGGCGTTTTGCGCATACTAATCTGTTTATGGTCGGATAAGCTGCAGCTGCTGGTTTTTCGCTTCAATGAATGTGATCCTGTGTAGGTGAGTTTTCAGTCGGTCAGAGTTTTTGTTCAGTTGACTCCGGGAGCAGAGTTTTGAAGCACAAAATTCGTAATATTACTTCTTTACACAAATTTCGGTGAATTCTATAGTCTTCATATGTCTTTACAAATCAGGTTGTCGTTTCCAGTCTATTAGGTTAGGTCAAGGTTAACGGGTTATTAGGTTAATGCATAATTCTTGCACCGAATTTTTCAGTTCCGCTTTCCAGCTTCAAATCGTCTGCTTTGATATATATTGAGAGAGAAAATCTTGCGTATTCCGCAGGTGCTCGTATCAAAATTCTTCGTTGGCTAGGGGAATGATGCATGTTGTTTAAGAAAAATACCCAAATAAAAGTTTTCCGAGTTTTGCTCGCTAAAATTCCTAAAACATCCACTGAAATCTGAATTTGATTTTGATTTTGGTTCTATGACTTATTCTTAAAAAAGTAGTTATATACATAGTGATGGGATGTTGTTGAATAGTTATGGACTTCGATTTTATTTTGTTTGACTTATTGATTTTTTCAAATTGATTTGAAGTTAATTTGAAACAAAATGAGTAACTTAAACCAAATAAAATCTATTGCTATTACCTCACACATAAAAGAGAGTACATATATGCGTGAATCCGATGTGTTTAACCGTTTCAAAACGAGCTTTCTCTATTTTTTGGTGCAAAAATTGTGCTTCAACCTAATATCTTCCGCTCATCATCTCTTGGATTTTTTGCAAATTCTACAGTGTACTCCCATTTTTGGTTTCAGAGGAAAAAAAACTGCACTAGATACATATCTTATTTGCTTTAAGTCAGCATCCAAACTTAAGAATCTCGAAATGAGTTGGATGTTCTTTGAAGTTTCCATAACTTTTATGTCCCTCTTCCTCGAGCTACTTCCTTAGTATTCAGTGCACATGTTCGCAAATGGCCGAAAGACTTCGCGATTTAGTCTGACTATAAATTGCGTCTTTTCCCCTATAATTACTGCCATTCTCAATAACAAGCTGGCTTTCGTATATTGGTAGTCAACTTGTATTGTGCTTTCCATGATATGCTTTACTACTGAAAACTGGCATATTCTTAAGTTTCCAAATCTCTAAATTGCTTCTTTCTAACTACAACGCCTCTAAAGTTTCTCTCCTTGCATTTGGTATCTTTTCTCAAGACTACAATCTTTCAATTCTCCCTAAGACTGCAAGATTCACTTTGAAAAAGGAAAACCCTCTTAAAAGAGAATTAGTATTCTTCTATACATTCTTGTTTAATTTGCATGGCCTTTGATAATCGCTTATGACTTACTCTTTGTTTTTGTCCGTCACATCCTGAGGGAGTACAAAAACAGGCATAGTTTTTGCAAGAAACATGTTGAAAACAATTTGACGACGGTTACAAAATTAGGTGATCTATGTTTTTTCAGAAAAACAGTACCTAGCCTTGTGTTTGCTTTATTATCCAATCAGTACCAGAAAGCGATGTTTTTCCCATTATTTCTTTGCTTTTTTGACGTCTCTCTTATGGTTTTTCGAAATCATTTACAAAATGGATTTGATTTTGATTTACTCTACAGAGCTTACTCCTTCATTACCGAATTCAGATATTTTTGGCACTATCCGTCAATTAATTTCATGGAAAGAAACTTGAAAACTGAATTTCCAGAGATTTTGCTGTTGCTCTCTCTTCTCAAGGAAGGTGGGGCCGTTTTCATGGTATGCGGGGCGATAGCAAAAATAAAGGGACAAGGTCTGAAATGGCTTCAGTATCACTAGTGAGCCTTAAAAATAAGTCCTGAGATAGAATTGGAAAAATTGCAAAAGGGGTGGAAAATATAACTATGGTATCAGCTCAGCTGGCACCGTGCTAGCACTGTGCCAGAAAAACCGTAGAACAGATGGACTTTTCGTTTACACGTTTTTTATAATCTTCACATTAATTCCTATTCTTAATTTTGTATACAAAGTTATAGTGCTGACAATCACAATAAATACCGAAGAATGCTTTGATCTACCCCTTTTTGCACTATGTTGAGTTTATCAATGATTTGGTATAAAAAATAGAAAAATCATATTCTGAACGAAGACAGGTTCAATGAAATCCATACAAGAAACTGTTCAATCACGCACGTCATGTATACGTTCTCAAAAAACTTTGAATGACGCTCGAGTCGAAGTTCATCAGCTTAAAGGCAGTGTCCCGGCAGATTTTGCATTTCCATCTTTTTGCATGTTTTGGGCCTTTTCTGTCTGTAGACCCCGAATATGAGCTTTAAAATGAATGAAAAGACCTTTTACGTGGAGTTTACCCAATTTCCAAAAGTCATCTTGGACGAGATCAGTGGAAAGTTGGGAGGCCTTGGCACGAATACCCTGGTGCTGGTGCCTGTAATTTTTGCTTTGGATAGCATGCAAAATGCGAGAGAGCAGCACGAGGTGGAGTTGAAACATTGTCACTTCCCTTATCTGCAGCCCACCCTTTTTGAGAAATTACCACATAACTTACGACATGTCGTTTCGACAATGTGGGACCGAGTAATAAAAAACGCTTAAAATTGAAACTTGAAGCTGTTCCGAAAATACTTACCACACTCATTAGACTGCGTGACTTCTGTTCGCAAAACCAAGCAGTCTTTTAGATACTCGTAAGCACAATCTTCTGTAAGGTTGATGTCAAATCTGATTTCATGACATAGACCTAATTTCTTTCTCTTTTCATGCTTCCAAATATCTGGAGGATGAACAGCGTTTTGGGAGAAAAACTGTACCAACTAGGAATCTGCAAAATTCCTTGGTCGACGCAGATTGAAAAACAGAACCAGTATGAAAGTATTGTATGACACCCCACTCTTAATTTATGAATGAAAGGCATAATTGTCAGCGGACTTCCATGAAGGTTTCAACCTTTTTGATCCCAGGATATTTTTGAAAATTAAACATTGTGTTACTCTTAAATGTCAGAGAGCCGTAATGGCAACATCGCAGAGACTGCAGAGGTCAGCGGAAAACTGTTGCAATGAAAAAGAGGACAAAAATTTGAATATATAAATTGCTCATTGCTCGACGGTTTGTGAGTTTTGATGACCGATTAAAAACCGACAAAACTTTTGGGATGTCCTAATAGATTGTCGTATTTTTTGCTACCTTTCTAATGTGTCAGCTGGACCATTGTAATTCATGAGACTTGATATGATGAGGCGGTCTCACTCAACCAACTCCTTCTTCATGTATTGTGGAATCTATTGGAAACATTTGAAGATTTTTTATGTTTCATATGAAATCTTACAGCTTTGTTTGAATTATTGCTGCATTTGCATAGATATAGTCTTCTCTCGCAATGGTCATGCCAGCGTTGAGCCACAGATCTCCTTCCTTGCTTTTTGCTCTTTTCTCACAACGTCATTATGATTCCTTAAAGGTACATGTAGTCGTCCTCACTTCAATAGTCGCTTTTTGTAATTTCACCACTTTTGTAAGTAGCAGTATTGTGGGGTCGGTGGCGGTAGAGTTACTATCCTGATTGAGAAAATAGTAAAAAAATCATGAAAAAGTAACAGGAGGATGATTTTATTGAGAAATTAAAACGTGTTGTACTCTGAACTTGCAGTTGCCAGTAATTTCAATAAGTGGTGCAATCACACAAGGCGGCTATCAAAACGAAAACTACTTTAACTGAGTCGTATCCGAGCATTCCTTCATTATCATCCACAAAATGATCCTGTACACTGAATGTGCATTAAATTCCTATTTATCCGCAGTTACTATGATCGGCTCCCAGATTCGCGTGGGGGCGGGTTGCGGACTTCCCTGATTTTAAGGGTAAGCTTAACGAGAGAGTACGAAATGCAATGCTGTAATGTGGAGGTTCAACGAGTTTCCTGAAAATCAGGGAAGTTCGCAACCTGCCTTCACACGAATCTGGGAGACGATGATAAATGTTTTACAAAATTGTGTAAGTGACTCGTTTTTACTTGTCAATAACTCGATTAGTTTTGGATTTTTGAAAACTCCCATCTAGCTTTGTTCAATTCCGAGTTTTATAGGCCCACTAAAAAGTTGGCAAGATCCCATCATTTTTTTTGTTGGAGGATGTCATGTTTTTACATTGCTAGCTATCTATAGTTTGTGTTTAAAAATACATTTTGTGAGCATAGAGATGAGAGAATTCAAATTCTACCCCACGCTCAATTTGCATATTGTGAAATTTTTTTTGTAAGAAGTATATTTATCGCATGAATAGTTGGGAAATAATTCAGTTGACGTAATAATGTCAGATGACATGGCAAGAATATTAGGATGCACCTCACACCGTAAAAGATGTCAGCCGCTATAAAAGGCAGTTGTTCAATATCCGACCAGTACTTTTCAGCTGATGTAGTGAGACAGCTTGCAATATATTTTTCTCGAGGTTCACTATTGCCGGAAATTGCGGAAGGCTTTAGCTTCTCATAATCTTTTTTGCATATTTTGCTATTGTAGGATTAGCAACTTTGCGAGAGGTTTCACATCCACGTAGCCTCTTTGCCCAGACTGTTCAGAAACTCTCAGTGGGCTGCCAACCCGAATAAGAAATAAATCTCACTTTATCTTGAGCCTCGTTTAAAAATTATGCCAAGTACATAGCAGCTGCTTCTTAATTCCGAAAATAAAATGTGGTTACATCTCTGACTCTTTTTTAAGAAAATAAAATATTGAAAGCAACCTTGCTATAGACGCAAATTTGCGAATTTTTTTTCTGCAACAACAACTAGTCCACGATGGCTTCGTATGCTAGAAGTTCCCACCGTGATCCTTCAACTGGCTTGGCGGCCGGAAGGCGGGGTTTCGTGAATTAATTAAGGCTAGATAATGATCAGAGAGCACTCGCGGGAAAGACGCAGACTGCGTAGCGGGCACGAACGCCCTTAATTAGGTCATAAAGCCCCACCTTCCAGCCGCCAGGCCAGTTGAATCAATGTTTATCTTGAGTTGGCACCTTGCGAAAGACAAAAATGGGGCAGAAACAATTAG